GACCTCCTCACGTAAGGGTTTTTGTCAGAGAGTATTTCAAACCAAAAACTTGGAACTAAACCTGCAGTTTTGCCACCATCTTCCTGTCTGACCTCAGGAAAGTAATTCTACCTCTCCAGACTTCAGTTTCCTCCCCTGTAAAATGAGGGGATCAGAATAGATCAGAGGTGCTTAACTTTTTTCTTGTCCTGTCCCCATTTGGCATCATGGAAAGCCTCTGGACCCCTTCTCAGAATAAGGTTTTTAAGTGCATAAAATAAAATGCATAAGATTTCAAAGGAAATCAATTAGATTGAAACAGTTATCAATTTAAAATTCACGGACACTGAATTAAGAACCCATGGACTAAATAATCTCAATGGTCTCTTGCAATTATAAACTATTATTTTATGAGGGAGTTGGATTAGAGGCTTAATAAAATCCCTTTTAGTTCAAAATCCTGTGATCCCAATTGCAGGATCTCTGAAATGTGTTGCATCCTCCAAGAATGGAAAGAGTTTTCTGTTAAATCAACAAATTTTAAAAATCTCTTAATAAGTGTTTCCTAAAAGTTAATTATTGTCCTCTAGTTGATTAATATCAGAGGCTCGGGGGTGATAATATCAGGAACTACAGCTAAAACCCAGGGAGGGGAGAAGCAGTCAGCCACCCTCTGGGCATACAGCGGTAAGTGTGAGTGTGAGTTGAGAGAGTGACCCCAGAAGTGTTGCTGCACATACAGATACATTTAATAGAACATAGGGAGTGGAGGTAAAAAAGGACAAGTCCCAGTGAAGTCCTCTAGGAATGTCTGAGGTGAGAGAGAACGCTTTCCCCAGGAGGATTAGGGAAGGGTATGTGAAAGAGGCTATGCCTGAGTTAAGCTTTGAGAGAAGTATTCAAGGAGAAAAAGATGTGTAGAAAATGTATTTCAACCTTCAGGAATACATGGAGATTGGAGATTGAGGGCAGCATTTAGGGAGCTGCTAATAATTTAGTTTGACTTGAAGGTCACCTACATAAATAGGTGAGAAAAGTGAAATGAGGCTAGGAGGGTAAGTTGGGACCAGTGTAGATAAATGACGATTTGCATTTTCTTCTAGAGGAAGAAGGAAGACATTTTAGCAGCCAAGCTATTGCTATATCAAGAAATAGTATTTAGAGTATTCAGCCAGTGATACTTGTAATCAATGAAAAGATGGGGAAAGGATCAGAAATAATCCCAAAGGAGACATTTGTGAGTTAAATTTTGGGGAAGACCTGTACGGAAACACTGTCACGCTGGCACAGTAAGAATGAACCAGTGCCAGAGGGCAAAGGACAGGGTACGACGTGTTCTGTCCTTTCTCCTTTTTTTTCCTCCTATTTAGAACATTTCATCAGTTTGAACAATCTGATTGCAAACTGTTCCAAAGATGCTAAGACACTGATCTCATTGGTGTGAAAATACCCGTTTCGTACAGACCTAATGTCTGGATTCATCCTTTGAAGATCTTACAGGGATAAAGATGATATCTTATTTTCCCGGGAATTTTGGAACAGAAAATAGAAAAGATCAAGAGAATCATAACCTGCAAAGAATTGATTTCAAAAACCTGGAAAGACTTGTATGGTCTGATGCTGAGTGAAGTGAGCAGAACCAGGAGAACTTACAACATGACTAATGTGAAAATATGTTTAATAGGAATGTATATGTAGAGCCTGTATCAGATTGTGCGCCATCTTGGGGAGGGAGATGGAGAAGGAGGGGGAGAAAAATTTAAAACTCAAAAACTTATGGAAGTGATTGTTGATAAATCAAAGTAAATTAATTGAAAAAAACAAAAGAAAAAAGAATTGATTTCAAGCTGTTCTCAGAGTGGCGAGGATGGTACAGGAGCTCTCCTCATCACTTCTAAGGGTACAAGTCCTCCCTAAAAGTGAATGTTCTTCAAGGCTTCGGACCCTCTTCTTTTTCTCTCATTGCATTCTCTCTTTTAATGAGCTTCTCTGTTCCCATGGTTTCTATAATCAATCATGTGGCTCTCAAATACATCATCACATAAATTTCCCAGTGCATCCCCACAATCTCCCATTCTGAGTCATCCTACATAGCAACTTGAGCAAAATGAATCAACATATTGAAAAATTCTGACCTTATATGCAATGCTCCATAGTTACATGTCCTTTCTACCCCCTTGCAAAAATGCTAGAAGAGATTCCTTCTCATATCTCTTCTTTGGAGGGGGGGGTCATGCTTGGACTTTATATATTTTTTTATGGGAGAGCTCTAAAACATGTTGCATCCTCCAAGGATGGGAAGGACAGGGTCTCCCAATCCCATCCAGGCTGGAAGCGCAGGGAGTGCTTACAAGCCCCAAAACAGTCCTATCTGCACAGGAGTGTTGACCTGCTCAATTCTGGCCCATCTTAGGTAACCTGGTGGCCACCTGCTCCTGGAGGTTCAGCACCAAACTGGGTGCTGACACACTATTGGCTTAACCCACTCTGACCTGAATTTGCAAGACTGGACAGCCTCAGCCTTCCCAGCAGCTGGGTCTGTGCCACCATGCCTGGCTTGGTCCTTACATTTTTGCAGTCTTCAGATTTAACTGTTTTGTTGTTATTGTTTCTATTTATATTGTGGTCACTGTATGTACTTACATACTTCCTTCTTCACCCGCTAATGCCTCTGTCCAGCCATCATCGTGCTAAAAAGTGCTCCTAGCTCCAGCCTTCTCTGGTGCCTCCGACTTGCCCTGGGGTCCTGGCTCCTGATCTGTGAGACTTCTGCCTAGCTAGCCCAGACATAGCCTCAGTACGTGGCACCTCCTTCTTGATTACCTTATACTTCCCACTCTGGGAAGAGTAATCAAATCAATACTGCCGTTCTTGGTATTAAAGGGCATCGGCCAAAGAAAGCCCAGCAGTTAGGAACATCACTGTATGCTCACCTTGATGCAATCCTCCCCGTGGGCTTCAGAACACGTGCTGGTTTTCTATAACTGGTTCTGTTCTGGTCTGGTTATCAGTGGTGAGGAAAGCTTTTCAGTGTGTACAAAAGGGCTCAAGCCTCCAGGCAGAGAGAAACTGAGAGTCCTGCTCTCACCCTCACTGCCAGAGCCAATATAAAGCCTGGAGCATTTTTTTTTATAGTTTTTAAGTTGATTGACATAGTGTCTGTTCCTGTCTTGCCTATTCTTCTCTGCCTTAGGTGAGAAAGTACTGGAGACAGAATGTTCTTAACTTTCTGAGAGGCTCATTTTAGAGTGCTGATCTTGGACATGGGAAGACCTGGGTTCAAATCCTGTCTCTGACACATATCAACCCCATAACAATGGGAAAGTGCCCCCGTTTAAAAAGTTCGAGAGATACACTTTCTGGGTAATTTAATCATTTTATGAATAAGGCTAGCATGTTATTAATAAAAAGAGGTCAGTGGCACTCTCTAATGCCAAAGACCCCTCATGGAGGTGGGCTTATAGTCTCTACGCCCTTGGAAGATCCAGTGTTTGTGAGGGTGGCAATCAACTCTGATTGGTTAATGATTAATGAGACAATGAATATTATAATGAGATGTGGGCTCATTCTAATGAGAGTCTTGGGGGTTCATGACTTGGATCACCCAAGCTTTGGTCAAAGAGACTTATCAATATACATATCAAAGAGAATCCATTTCTACCCCAGACCTGTCTGACCAAACACAATGAACAGGAATTCACCAATTCTCTCAGCCTGGTTGGGTAAGTCTTTGCCCGAGATTTCCCATACTGGTTGATTTCTGGATGAGGAAGGAGAAAAGGTGAAAAATACTTGGTTCTGATTCAATAATTAGTTATTAATACAAAGAGCAATAATTTCTCTCATACTCTCTAAGTCACTAATGGCCCCAAAGAGATGGAATTCTAGATGTTGGCCCTCCCCCCAATACTCAAAACTGCTTAGGGGTCTGAAATACTTTTGAGAAGATTCCTGGGACAAACCCAAGTTTTCTTGCTCGCTGGGAGAAGGAATTTTTGCACTTTTAAGTTTTGGTCTCTGCAGAGTCTAAGATATAGCGTGACATTTAAAAAAGTTAGAGAAACATAGTTTCTGGATAATTTTATCATCTTATTAATATGGCCTGATCAGGTTATTAATAAAAGGATGGTCATTTGGCCATCTCTCTTAGACCCTTCTAAACAGTAGGTGGTTCATCAAACAGCGATCAAATCTAATTGGTTAACATTTGGGCTCTATTAAAATGAAGGGCTGAGCATGTCTTGGCTAGGGAAAGTATCTCTATACCAGACCACCTGTAGCTTTAGGCTATCGTTTCAAAGAATGTATACCCTACTCAAGCATGAGCAGAACCCAATAGCTTCTACCAGGGTGGGGCTTTGAATGAGAAAGTGAGTCCAATCTCATCACCAGCAATGTCCTTAAAAACTGAACTTACTTTGTAAGAAGTGGGGGGGGGGAAGCTCTGAATCTCCCCAAGATATTGGTTATTAATAATCATTTCTCTCAATAGGGATAGGAATTAGACCTATGATTTCATTGGTATGGAGGATTCTCCAAAAAGAACACTCCCTCCAGCAGTGCAAATCAGCACTTTCTTTGCAATTTATAGTCTTAGAGAAACTGGGGCACTGAGGAATTAAGTGACTCACCCGAGGTCATCTTGCCAATATGAGTCTGAGGCAGACTTGAACCCAGGCCTTCCTGGCTCTGAGGACAATTCTCTCTTCACTTGACCAGGCTACCTGGCACACACTGGGTATTTAATAAATGTTTGATGGTTAACTGTTTGATTCTTGTATGGGGCAGGATCTCAGAGACTTGACCCAAGAGAAGAAGTGAGTGTGAAAAATAATTAAAATTGTATAAGTGGGGGGAGGGCAGGGGGAGAAGTATAGCTGGATAACAAGAAAAAACGTAAAGAATGGAAATGAGCTGGAGGCAATATCTGAACCCACATCTTCTTTTTTCATGCTGTGTCCCCTTGGGACAATAGGCTTTGTCCTAGAAGTCATCTCATCCAAACTCTTCATTTTACACAGGAGGGAATTGAGGTCTAGCAAGCACTTGACCAAGGTCACTAGGTCATGGAAGACCTGGGGAAGACTCCAAACTCCAAATCCACTGTTCTTTCCATTGGACTGCCTTAGGATCGTAGATTTAGAGCTGGGACTTTAGAAGACATCCCTCTAATTTTACAGGTAAGTAAACTGAGGCCCAGAATGGTAAAGTGAATTACCCAGGATGATAGGTAAAATCAGAGGTATAGAGTTGGAAGAAGCCCTAGAGGCCTCTCACTTAACCCACTCATTTTACACATGGGGAAACTGAGGCCCAGAGAGGTTGTGACTTGTCCAAGTTTCTAAATGGTGGTAGTAGCATTCAAATCCAGTTTTCTGACTTCAAATCCATTGTTTGTTTGTTTGTTTGTTTTACTTCATCCCAGATACCTTAGGAGTAGTCAGTCAATAAACATATTTTAAGCACGGACAATGGTCTGGGCACTGTGCTAAGCTCTAGGGTTACAAAGAAAGTAAAAGCAATCCCAGTTCTCAAGATGCTCACAGTCTAATGAGGGAGAAAATATCACACAATTATGTACAAACAAGCTACATACAGCATGAGTTAGAAGTAATCTAGCAGGGTAAGGCATTCCAATTAAGGGAGAAAGCAAAAGGCTTCCTGTAGAAGGTGGGATTTTTGAAGTAGAAATGATGAATTTTACCCTATGAAATTTCAATTATACTTTGTTTACTAGAAGAAAAAAATAAAAAAGAAATACAATTGCTGTGTAAATCCTAGGAACCCAGGCAACCTTGAGCCTGAGTCTACTTGGGGTTGTTCACATTATCAAACCACCAGGATTTCTATTTCCCACTCAGAAAATTCTTGTTTAGAAAACAAAAAACCATGGTTTTTGCCCAAGCTTAAATTTGGCCTGAAACCCTCCTTTAAAAATAAATCAGTGTGGGGAAGCGAGGTGGCACAGTGGATAGAGCACCGGCCCCTGAAGTCAGGAGGACCTGAGTTCAAATCCCACCTCAGACCAAACACTTGACACTTACTAGCTGTGTGACCCTGGGCAAGTCACTTAACCCCAATTGCCTAAAAACAAACAAAAAATAAATAAATCAATATCATACTAATCAACAACCAGAAGTTAATTAGTCTGGAGCAATGGGAAGAACACTAGCATTAGAGGCAGAGGACATGGGTTCAAATCTCAGCTCTGGGCCACTCACTACCCATGCTGAACTTACTTGCTTAGCCCCCATGGCCCTCAGTTTCCTTCTTTGTAAAATGAAGGGGTTAGACCAGATGATCTTGAAAGTCCATCCCAGGTCTAACCCTTAGGACACTTTCTAAAATAAAGCCTTTTCCTGTATTTATACCTTCATTACCAGCCCCTGAATATATATTTCCCAGGAGGCAGAAGTATCCTGATTTAGCATCATAGACTCTGGGAGTTGGAGGGGACTTTAGCAATTGGGAAGACTAGGTAATTAAATTAATTAGGTAATTGTTCCAAGGGCTGTAAGCCAGGGAAATAACCGCTGATTTATTTGAAGCCATATCAATATAAATAATCAGTCCGACTATTTTTAGGGAGATAAAAACCTAGCCTATAAAAGAATGAAATTGCCTACTGGAAAAGAAGTGAGAAGACTGTAAGCCCTAATTCTTGTGAACTAACTAATGAATCATCTTGCACGCAGGGGACCCACAAATCTCATTCATTAAAGGAGCTTCCAGAAGAAGCAGGTTTTTAAAAATGTATTGTTCGCATAATCGCTTCAGCTCTTGCCTTCGGCTTGTCAACCGAGGCTGTATTTGACAAGATGTCATCAGAGAGACTCTGGAGGCTTTCAGGTTGTTATGATTTTTCTAGAGATGAGTTATCTTGGCACTGAAGAGAAAAAACAAACTCATATTTACTCAAAGCCATAGGCTGTTCCCTCCTGGAAAGGAGCGTAGGGTTCATTGAATCTGAGCCCCTCAATACACAAATGAAGAAACTAGAACGGAGAGAGGAATTTACTCAGGTCCCATCCAGTGAGGCCTAGAACCCAGACCTGACTCCAATCGATTTTCCTCTGACATATTTGATTTCTTGATTTATTTGAATCCTTATCAATGTAATTAATCAGTCTGGCTATTTTTAGGGAAACAAAAATCGGTTCCATAAGATATAGGCTTTCTGACATACGGGAAAGCATAAAGAGCTAGGTTCCTCATACATTTTTTTCTTTAAAAAACGGAGGCAATTAACTCTTTTGTCTCATGTAGTTTTCATTTATGATTTCTTGAAATAGAGCTCTGTAAAAACCAGGCTTGGATAAAGTCTGCTGGGATTCATTGGCTCTACTTGACTATGCCTTTAAATACAGATCACTCTGGCTGTAAAATGACCGGTCAATAATAGGTCCCAGCTCAAACCCCTCTAGCTCACTGTTTGGGTTTTGGTGGGCTCAGCATAAGGTAAATAGAAATTGTTTCTGTTCTGGCCAGAAACCCTGAGGGTCTTCCCCTTCCAGATAGATCCTTTTGAGCAGGCAAACTAGGCCACCTTTTGTCTCAGTTCTTACCTAGCCTTAAAGCACTGAATGGGTGTTGCCTCAGACAAACTGAGACCTTGGTAAAACTTTAACTTAAAAAGGCCAAGGTCTCCCACTGCAATTGGGGCCATCTCTAGTCTTCCTGACCTGTGTCTTGCCGCTGGACTCAGATGACTCTGGAAGAGAGAGTGAGGCTGATGATTTTGCACAGCTCTGCCTCACTTAAATCCACTTCACTTGCAAGTCAAGACATCACCCTCCTGATGTCATTGGTCCTCTTGGAGAACAAAAGACAAACACCAGAGAGGAACTTAGAGATTATCTAGCCCACAACCCCCTCATTTTAGAGACAAGGAAACAAAGGCTGGGAGAGGTAGTTGACTAATCCACAGTCACACAGCTAGGAAATGTATGAGATGGGTTTTGGACCCAAATTTTCCTGACTTCAGGGCAGCTAGGTAATGCTGCAGTGGATAGAAAGCTTGGCCTTAAGTCAGGAAGACGTGAAATCAAACCTGGCCTCAGATACTTGCTAGCTGTGTGACCCTGGACAAGTCACTTAACTGTGTTTGCCTCAGTTTCCTCATCTGTAAAATAAGCTGGAGAAGAAAATGGCGAACCACTCCAGTATCTTTGCCCAAGAAAACCCCAAGTGGGGTCATGAAGAGTTGGACACAACTGAATATCAACAAATTCCTGACTTCATATCCATCATTTTATCTCACTGTGCTAAACTGAGAGGAAGATAAAATCTAGTCCTCATTTTACAAGAGTCATAACTAGTATGGAAAAGTCAGGACTTTCCTAGGCACTGACATAAGGGAGAAGGCAAATACCCCCTCTGCCATCTTGTTCCCATGTCTTGTGCTTCATGCCTTAATGGTCCTCTGTCAGCCAGCACCCCAGTGGAAGTGGGCAAGAAGGTGGGCCCTAGGAAAGAATGAGGGAATTGTGTCATGGCTTAACAGTGGTCAAGCCCTCTCTTCCTGGAAGTAACACACCAGCATGCCCCCTTCGTATCATCAAAATGAGACTTCACCCCACTCTCAATAGCTCCATCCTCTAAGGCCCCGGTCCTCCATTTACTCCACCTCCCAACCTGCTCTATTGTTTTGCTTCAGGTGAAAAAAATGACTCAAAGTTCAGAAATATGTATGTGGAGAGAAGAGATGGATGGGTATTTCATTATAGACAAGTCACAGCAGCCCAAAGGTTGTTTGACATTTTGCTGAGATTTTAAGATCTATTATGTCTGGAAGGTGTCATTTTTGATGTCTCCTAATACATTATGACTCAAGACAATTGTCTGGTTTGATGTGGCCTAGGGCAAGTTCAAGGTAATAATAATGCAAGCTTGGAAAAGAATTTCCAAACTGTATTTAGAGGAGGTTAAACTCTAAAGGATTAGCTCTAGTCAGCATTCATTAGGTACTTAGCACACCCATTTATGATTCAAGCTGCCTCCAATCTCTTCTCTCTCTCTCTCTCTCTCTGTCTTCTCTCTCTCCTCTCTGTCTTTCTTCTCTGTCTCTCTCTCTGTCTCCTCTTTCTCCCTTTCTCTCTCCCTCCTTCCCTGTCTCTCTCTTTCTGCCTGCTTCATTCTCTTTCTCCCTCCTCTCCTCTCTCTACCACTCTCCCTTTCACTCTCTCTCCTCCTTCTCATTTTCCCTCTCTCTCTCCTTTTCTTCTTTCCCCTCCTTCCCTCCCTCTCTTCCTCTCTCCCCACATATTTAGGACTATCAGTGTTTTGAGTATGTATATACACACATACTTGTATTTACATATATGTACATGCATGTATCTTTCAAGTTCTGATAAAGATCTGATCCTTTGGTAATTAATGTTGCCCTTGTTTCAGCGGTTACTGTTTTACCATTTGCAGTGGGGCTTGAAAAGTGTTTGTGTTGGAGGCACAAGGCTTCTATAGCTATCTTTCTCTTTCTCTTAAAAAGTCCTAGAAGAATCAGTTTCCATCATCAAATTTTTGGTCTCTTAAGGCATTAATTGGTACATGGGAGTAAGAATGCTGTTGGAATGGAGGCAGAGAGGTTCCGAAAGTCAGGAGCAGATCAAATGTATAAAAGAGCAAATTCTCTTTATTCCAGAAAATTCTTCCATCGCGGTGGTGAGAAGTCAGGGCAAAATAATACCTTCCTGCCTATGAGAGACTCTCTCCCGTGTAAGTGACCATTAGCCATCATCAATGGATTGTCAGTCTGAGAAGCTCCAAGTCCCATGTTGTCCTCCAACGCTTCCAAGATCTTTGATTTCATCAGTGAAAGGACCATCTCCATTGACACAGATTGAAAACCCTCCCTGACTGAGCCGGGAGCTCTTGAGAGTGGTTGACTTTGTCAGCACGTGGGTGGAGCTGGTGATGAGCCCTTCTGGACATATAGTGAAGCTGGTTCTTGCCTGTATTTGAAGGGATCTTGGGAGGACCTGGGGGACCTTTTGATTCTCCAGCCCAGGGTTAACTCCAATGCACAGTGAGGCTTCAGAGTAAACTTTGGTCAGTGTTGGTATTGGGAGAAATTCAAGTGTCTCTAATGGTCTGACACTTCTCCGTGAGGCCAGGGCTTTGCCAAGAGTCAGTAAGCGTTTATGGCTAAACTGATGTTTGAGCCCTACACTACGTGTGGCAGAGCCCCACCATAGAACTTCCTGCTCTGTTTATGATCTCTTTGCCCTTACAGAACAAAATAAAACAAAGTCTGACCAGAGCAGACAATAGCAGAAGTGGAGTGACTCTCCTTTGAGGACACAGACCCAGTGTTCCACAGTTCAGACAAAAAGGCCGTCCAGAGAGATCTTGAAACATTGCCCAACCCTTGCATTTGGAGTATTGTGGAGGCTTGGCAAATGAAGTACTGAAAAAGGAGAGTGGAAGGGAGAGGTCCAGATAAGTACCACTGAAATAGTGGAGGGTAGCTATATGGTGTGGTGGATAGAGCATTGGACCTGGAGTCTAGAAGACCTGAAATCAAATCCAGCCTCAGGCACTTACTAGCTGTATGACCCTGAGAAAGTCCCCTAAACTCTGACTCAATTTCCCTTTTTTGTACAATGGTAATAATAATAGCTTCTATCTCTCAAGGTTGTTGAAGATAAACGGAGATAATATTTGTAAAATGCTTTTCAAATCTTAAACAGCTGTATAAATGCTATCTATTATTACCATGATTCATTCATTTAACAAACATTTATTTATTAAATGACCTTTGCGTCTGGTACTGGGGAACACAAGGTAAAAAATGAAAGCACCCCTCCCCTTAAAAGAGTTTACATGCAGGGGCAGCTAGGTGGCGCAGTGGATAGAGCACCGGCCCTGAAATCAGGAGGACCTGAGTTCCAATGTGGCCTCAGAAACTTACTAGCTATGTGACCCTGGGCAAGACACTTTACCCCGTTTGCCTCATTTTCCTCATCTGTAAAATGCTTGGAGAAGGAAATGGCAAACCACTGCAGTATCTTTGCCAAGAAAACCCCAAATGGAGTCACAAAGAGTCGGAAATAACTGAACAACAAACAATAATGTGTGTGTGCGCGTTCTATGTATTGAGAGAGGGAGAGATCTGGGAGTCATTTACGTTGAAGTGATAATGAAACTGATGGGAGCTGAGGAGATCCCCAAGAGATAAGGTATACAGGCAGAAAAGATGAAGGCACAGGACAGAGCTTGGGAGAACCTCCTGCCTGTGGCTGCAGTGGGGATAATGGTCAGGGAAAAAAGACTGAGAAGGAACAAAGAGGCAGGAAGAGAAGGAGGACAAAGCAGCGTCAGGGAAACACAGGGAGGGTATATCAAGACAACGGGGGAAGGGACCCCCAACAGTGCTATCAAGTGCAGCACAGGGACCCAGCAGGAGGAGGCCTGAGAGAAGGCCGCTACACTTCGCCGCCTCCTCGGAGAGAGAAGCCTCTGCTGAGTGGCCACGTCGGAAACCAAACAGCACAAATTCGCCAAGTCAGTAAAAGGAGATCAAGCAGAGACAGCCTTCTCTAGGACTTCAGCTGAGAAAGGGAGGCGAGGCAGGGCGAGAGCTCGAGGAGATGGCTGGCTCAAGGGAAGGCGTTTTCTTAAAGTTGGGGAGACTGGCCCCCATGATAGCTGGCGGCTGGCAAAGAGCCGTTAGACGAGGAGGAAAGATTTAAAATCAGAGAGGACTGAAGGGGCAATCAGGAAGAAAAGGGGGACTATGGGACCACGGGCCCAAGCGGAGGGGTTGGCCTTGGCAGGAAGGAGGACCACCTCATCATCTGAGACCGCAGGGAAGGAGGGGAGACTGGGGAATGATGCAGGGTGCTCTGAGTTGTAGAATGTGGGAGAACAGGGAGGCAGTGCAAGGAAAAAGGCCTCTGTTTTCTCTGTGAAGTATGAGGGGAGGTCCTCTCCTGAGAGGGAGCAGGGAAAGGTGACATAGGAAGCTTGAGAAGAGGAAAAAGAAGTGTACAACCACCTTGGAAAGGGTAATCAATCAGTATGGTACAGTGGGAAGAACACTGTCGCTAAATGCCACAGTTGTTCAGTCATTTTCAGTCAGGTCTGACTCTTCATGACCCCACTTGGGGTTTTCTAGGAAGAGATACCAGAGTGGTTTGTTATTTCCTTCTCCAGCTCATTTTACAGATGAGGAAACTGAGGCAAACAGGGTTAAATGACTTGCCTAGGGTCACACAGCTACTAAACGTCTGAGTCCAGATCTTCCTGACTCTAGGCCTGGTGCCCTATCCACTGAGCCACCCAGGTGCCCCAAATCCAAAGGCCTGGGTTCAAATGCTGCCTTGGCATTTACTACCTATGTGACTTTGGATAAACTGCTTAACCTTCCTAGGCCTCAGTTCCCTCATCTGTAAAATGAGCAGGTTGGACTAGTTGCCTTTGAGGTCCCCTCCAGCTCTAACTCTCTGGTCCTAGGAGGAGTTAAGAGATTGCCTCGTGGCAGTGAGGGCCCAGGTACTTCTTCTTCTTTTTTTGGGGGGAGGGTGAGGCAATGGGGGTTAAGTGACTTGCCTAGGGTCACACAGCTAGTAAGTATCAAGTGTCTGAGTTCAAATTTGAACTCAGGTCCTCCTGACTCCAAGGCTGGAGCTCTATCTACTACGTCACTTAACTGCCCCTGGCCCAGTCACTTGTAGGACAAATTATAAAGTCTTCTATTTGGAATGCAAAGCTCTCAGTAACTTGGCCTCGACCTCCCTTTCCGGTCTCCTTACACTTTCCTACCCTCCACATATTCTATGACCTAATCCAGCTTTAATGAATTTCTCGATATTCCTCCCATACAATGCCTCACATGCCCCTCTGTGTCTTTGCACTGGCTTCTCTGAAAACATCACCCTCCTCATCCCCACCTGGGGAGCCTAGCCCCTGTGGCTTCCTTCAAGACTCAACTCAAATCCCTCATCTGCAGGAAGTCTTTCCCAGTCCCCTCCCTCCATCCCCCAGTTTCCACTGCTTCCCAGTTGAGATGACCTCCCATCTACTCAGAGTAGTAACTGAATGCACCTAGCTCTTTGTTGCTATCTTCCCCTTTAGATTGTGAGCTCTCTGAGCGCAGGGCCCATGTTTTCATCTTTCTTTATACTCCCCAGGGCTCAGCAGAGTACCCCAAGATGCTGAATAAATGCTTTTAGATATTGTTTGTCCTTCTTTCTCAAAGACCACGGCATCAGGAAGGTGATGCCATGCCCTGCAAGTGAATTGGATTTCAGTGAGGTAGGGCTGTGCAGTTACCAGCCTCACTCTCCTCCAGAGCCATCTGGGTCCAGTAGCCAGATATAGATTGACTGACAATTGAAAATAGAGGACAAAGTTGTACAGGACCTGATCAGCATGACCGTGCGGGTTTCTCCAGCATCACTTAGGGATACGTGAGTAAGAGCTGAGAAAGCAGAGGGGAGGAGTCAGCCTGTGGTTTAGCCAGGCCTGAGTGCCAGACAGATGTGCGGCCAAGAGAGGGGATTCCAGAGCGGAGGGCAGGGTTCAGATGAGTAAGAGAGGCCAGAGTGGAGCGGGGATGGCCTGGGCACTCCTAGAGGGATGGAGAGACTGGAGGTCACAGGACAGATGAAGAAAAAGGTTGAGGATGAGTGAGGTGCAGGCAGGTAGGAAACTAAGGAAGTCAGATAAACAAACTATAGAATTCTTAATAAATAATAATAACGATGATGACAGCTAACATTTACATAGCACTTTAAGGTTTGCAAAGCACTTTACAAATGTTAGCTCATTTGATCCTCACAACAGCTCTGGGAGGTAGGGACTATTATTATTCCCATTTTAGGGGGAGATGAGAAACTGAGGCAAACAGAGTTGAGTGATCTGCTCAGGGTCACATGGCCAGTAAGTGTCGGAGGCAGGATTTGAAGTCAGGTCTTCTTACTCAATGACCAGTACTCTGCCATCTAGCTGCCTTTAAGGGGGGAAGTAGAATACTTCTGGGTGATGATGAGACCAAGGGCAGGTGATCCATGGCCACTGAAGTAGACTGAAATACCTGAGTGCCTCAGAGGCAGCTGGTGGAGCAGGGGACAGAACACTGGGTCTGGAATCCAGAAGACTGTGTTCAAACACGACCTCAGACACTTACTAGCTGTGTGACCTTGGGGAATAATGGGACCTATGTTGCAGGGATGTTGCTGTGTGACCCTGGGCAAGTCACTTAATGCCTGTTTTCCTCAGTTTCTTTATCTATAAAATGGGCATAATAACAGTACCTGGCTCCTCAGGGTTGTTGTAAGGATCAAATTTTATAAAAAGTGCTTGGCACAGTGCCTGGCATATAGTAAGTGCTAAATAAATGTTAGTTATTATTATTTTTTACTTATTGTATATACATTATTTCCCCTAAGAGAATGAACATCGTATCACCAGCATAGGACCACAGCTCTAGGGCAGGAAGGGACCTCGGAGGTCATCTACTCCATTTCACAGATGAGGAAACTGAAGGCCAGAGAGGGTAAGTGACTTGGTCAAGGTCACACAAGTAGTTAGCATCTGGGGCAGAACTTGAACCCAGGTTCTCGGGCTCCAAGGGCTGGTCTTTTCCCACAGCCTCCTCTTTGCTTTAGTATGGATAGGTACGCTGTACTTTATGCAGCTGGTGTGTTTCTGAGACTCTTTGAGCATAAAATGAGTTTCCACAAATAGATTTGGAAACCGTCCTCACTTCTCTTCTGTTTTTCCCCAGATCCTTTCCTTGAGAGCAGTGGGGAAGTCTGCCAGGGGACACTGTGACCACGTGTTGTCATAGACAACAACAGGGATTCCTGCTCAGGTCTGGGTTAGACTGACCCATTTGCTGTTTCTCATACACAACATTCCATCTCCCATCAATGTGTCTTTGTAGAGGCTGGGCCCCAAACCTGGAACATACTCCCTCCTCCAGCTTCCTTCAAGGCTCAACCCAAGTGCCCTCTCCAACACGGCCTGTTCCCCATTTGTATTACTTATCTCTGAGCACCTTAAAATGTCTCCAAACAGAATGCAAGCTCTTTGTATTTGCTTTTGTCTTTGTATTCTCAGCACCTAGCACAGTGCCTGGCATGCAGTCAGCACTTAATAAATGCTTGTTGAATGAATGGATGCCTATGAGGTCTTTGCTGAGATTCTGAGAAGGCAGTGGACTAGAGTAGATAACCTTAGGAGCAGTTTCAACTTTATGAAATTATGAGCAGCTTTCTGTTAAAATAAACAGTAGCTAGGTGGCACAGTGGACAGAGCACAGGGCCTGGAGTCAGGAAGACTCCTCTTCATCCATCCATCCATCCATCCATCTCAGGATGGAGGGGCACACTGCAGTTGATGCCACTGGTGTGTTTCTGAGGTTCTTTGAGTATAAAATGAATCCCCATAAATAGATTTGGAAACCCTTCTTCCTAAGTCCAAACCCGGCCTCAGATACTTACTAGCTGTATGACCTTAGGTGAGTCCCCTAACCCTGTGTACCTCAGTTTCCTCATCTGTAAAATAAGCTGGAGAAGGAAATGGCAAACCTCACCAGTATCTCTGCCAAGAAAACCCCCCAAAGGGGTCATGAAGAGTTGGACACAACTAAATAGCAACAACATTTTAAAATAGCAAACAGATTTAAGGATAGAGATGAGCCTGATAATAAAGTCTATTTCTCTAAGAAATTGTTACCCTTGCAATAAAAAGACATGGAAAATCTCATTTTTGGTTAGATACAGGATTCCTCTCCCTGTTTTTTTTTTTCCAGGCCCTTGACTGGGGATGGTGACTCATAGCTTCTGCTGTGGACTAAAAGAGTCATCAGGCTGCCTTTATGAGGAAGAGGATTTCCAGCCATGGAGCCTCATTGGACACAAGCTGATTTCACCATCAGCTGGCCAGAGTTGAAGCCCAGAAACTGGAAGCGGAGAGAAGTTCCGCCAGCACATAAATACCAAAGATACCCGGTGGTGAACACAAACCCAGAAACACAATGTTCCGTAGAAAAAGGCAGAGAGATCAGTTTCATGACATCGCTTTAGCAGCTGGGCAGTTTCAGAGATGTGAATTGCCCAGGCTGCCTATATGCCATGGTCAAACAGAGTCATAGTATATGATTCTTTCCACAGGTTTCCTATCTATATGAATATGTCTGCTTTTCCTGTAGATAATGTACTAATATGTGGAATAGTGTATGACATAGGTTGACAGGGACAAATGTTTAGTCACTATTTAAAAGGTTTTGCTGGCTATTTCTTTAAATGCCTTTACTTAGAACTAAATGTGTTCTTTGACTAACTAGTAGAAGTCAACACATTGGTGGGGGCTCATGAGTGATAGCTTTGAGTAGTTCCATACCCAGAGAGTTCCTTGAATCTGGGGAAAGATTTTCTATGGGACACAACACACAAGCTGGAGAGCTACAATGTATATATATACTTGATACTTATTTCTCTGTATTCATGTCAATATCCTTAGTAGAAATATACATACTAGTAGTATGTAAGCTCCTTGAGGGCAGGAACTTTTATTTTTTATCTTTTTAATAATGATTGTAGTGAACATTTATATAGTACTTTAAGGTTTGTAAAGTATTCACATATATATCTCATTGGATTTTTATAACTCTGTAAGTGCTATTGTTATCCCCATTTTACAGAGGAGGAAACTGACAGAGAGGATGACTTGCCTAGCTAGGGTCACACAGCTAGCAAGTATCTGAGAAAGGATTCAAAGGCCAGGAATCCACAAGCCAGTTACAGTCATCTGCTTGCAGTTCCTCAAACTGTCTTTGTGCCTTTGCATTGAGAAAGGGATAAACATTTATTAAGTGCCTATTGTTTGCCACACTTTTCACAAATATATTCTTATTTCATCCTCACAACAACAGTGTGAGGTCGGCACTACTATTTCCCTGATCTCACAGCTGAAGAAACTGAGGCAAAGTTAAATGACTTGCCCAGGGTCACAAAATATTGTTCATGAGGACAAACCTCAAAATGTAAAATAATTTCAAAAAGAAATGCCATCTCTGGCATTTTTGGAGAGTTACTGAGCTCAGGGTGACATTCTGGGTTCAAATAATCTCTAGTCACATAAAGTTAAATTCAAACAATATTAATAAATGATAAATAATAATCCACAATCCACAAAGCTTATTTTGGAGGTCAGGCTAACCTCAGAGATGCTCTAGGGAAACCAGATGGTTGTAAGGAATGCTTAGATCTCACCCAGTGTTTGTTTTAGGTCCACCAAAAATTCATATTTTGGGTTCCAAAATTAGATTGAGTTACCTGCTGATATATATTTCAAAATGCCCTCCCTTGGAGACTATCTACTCCCTACATGAGGCTAATTAGGCAAATGTCCTTACATCCTGGTCTGAACTCTATATAATGTCATCTCACAAAGATTTGGGGAGGGAGCCATCCTCTCTCTCTCTCTCTTTATCTCCCCTCCCCCCCCAAACCCCCAACCTAATACATTTCTTTCTAAAACGATTTCAGATTTTGGGGTTTGCTTTCATGAACAATAGCTAGGAAGTGTCTGAAGCTGCATTTGAACTCAGGTCTTCTATACTGGAAACGACAGGTCTGGGCTTGGAGTCTGGGAAGCCCCAGAGGATTCAAGTGAACTAGCATACATGTTTTGTGAACCCACGGTGCTTTATACCCATCTGGGCATGAGAATGGAGGCTAAATCTAGAGTTGGAAGGGACCTTAGAAGTGGGACTCCCATGCCCTCATGCTACCCGATGAGGGTCAGGAGACCCAAATAAAGAAAATGACTCGCCTAAAGACAGACAGGTGTTCCAACCTGGGTCCTCTCTGATGCTCAATGCCCCCTTCTTTTCACTCTTGCTCCATCATTTCCTTCATAGTCAGCACTACTTAATGCTTTGGGAATGAATCTGCTCAATTCAATCAACAAGTATTTATTACGCACCTTGCTAGGTGCTAGGCTGGATGCCAGGGATAGTGGATATTCGGAGTTTGGAGTCTGGAGAACCCTGGGTTCAGATTTGACCTTAGATATTCCAGTGACACAGCGGGAAAAGTTCCGGACTCAAGTCCCTGGGCCTCAGTTTCCCCTCTGGGGCTAGATGGCCTCTGAAGTCCCTCTAGCTCTGAATCAATGATCCAATGACCTATTATTTGTGCAAATTAACTCCCCCAGCCTCAGTTCGCTCTCCGTAAAAAGAAGGGGAGACTGAGTTAAGGGGTCCCTGGTGTTCCTTCCGGCTCGAGATCTGGGAGCCTGTCGCTTTGCCTCAGTTTCTCCACCTGTAAATTGGGACAACAGAAGGTTGCTGTGGGGCTCAAAAGAGATCGTACTGACGTACGATGCCTTAACCTTAAAACCTTAACCTGAAAGGCTCCATCTGCGTCAATGTCAGTGTCAGAAATTCTTAATTGTTGCTTCCTCCCGGCTCCTCTCGGCTACAGCAGCCACCTGCGCCTCTTTCCGCGTGGGGGCGCCAGAGCACAGCGGTCTCGCGGGGGCGGGGCGAGCCCGGGCGCCGAGCGCGCAGGCTCAGGCGCACGCGCAGTCGTGGGCCTTCTCCATCCGGGTCTCCGTCCGGCGGGATCTTCCCTCTCAGCTCGCGACTGGCATGGCTGGGCTCGAGGAGCCGGGGAACGGCGGGCGGGGGCGCGCGCCCCCGAGCGGGGGCCCCGGCGGCGTGAGGACAACGGTGTCGCGCGAGCTGCTGCACGCGGGCTGCGCAGGCGCAGGCGGTGAGGGCTGGCGAGCCCGTGGGGGAGGGGTTGGGAGGAGGGACTGTCCCCAGGACTTTACTAAGTAGGGACTCCCTCCCTGGGGGAGTGGGAGTGGGGGTGGGCGGGCAGCCCCGAGAGGTTAAGGGACTTGTCCTCGGTCACTTCACTAGCATGGGCAGAGGAGTGACTTGAATCCAGTGCCCTGCCCATCCGTTGTGTAGTGAAATGCCGCAGAGCAGCTCTGACATCCCATGGTCTAAACCCTCCCAGCTCTGACACCTCCTGCTCTGAGACCCTCCCAGCTCTGACGTCCCACGTTCTGAGACCCTCCCAGCTCTGACGTCCCACGTTCTGAGACCCTCCCAGCTCTGACATCCCACATTCTGAGACCCTTACAGCTCTGACATCCCATCTTCTAAGACCCCCTTCCAGCTCTGACATCCCTCCCCCTCAGATCCCTTTCAGAGAAGGCCAAATGATGTAAGCACTGACTCTTAAAAACAGAGAACCTGGATTCAAATCCTGGCTCTGCCATAAGTTGGCAGTATGGCTTGTACAAGTCCTTGCCACACTCTGCTCTTCAACATTCTCCACGGTTCGACCTCTACCTTGTTGGGACCTGGACAGGGCAGCCCCAGCTTGATCTGGAAAGGGCGGGGGCTTGGGGAGAGGGTGGTTCATTTGTGATTGGGGTCAGAATAAAGGGGAAGGGTCTGCACCCCTTCCCTCAGCTTCCCAGCTGGGCTCGTGGCGCTGCCGTGAGCCAGAGGAATCCGCTTCTCCTCCAGGGCTTCAGGACACGCTCCTCATCAGTTCCAAAGGCAAGAGCCCGGGCTTGAAGACCGTCCGAGTGGAGAGGAGCAGCCGTGAGTGCAGCTTTCTTGGGTGTCTGATGCCGTTTTCATTGCTGATTTCTTCTCCTTGAGCTGGGAATTTCTCTGTTTTTGCATCTATGAGGAATGATCATCACTGATTGGTGTTGGAGTGGCAGAAGGGATTGGGGCGGGGGCTCAGAGCCTGGGGTTCTGGATCTCATAAGATTGGTTTCCTTTATAATCCTGTGTATTTTATTTGATGCATTTAAAGACACAATTCTGAGAAGGGGTCGACAGGCTTCCCCAGGCTGACTGCCAGAGGGGTCCCTGCCACAATAAAGGTGAACAACCCCAACCCAGGTGATTTCTTGTTTTAGGCAGTTGGGGTTAAGTGACTTGCCCAGGGTCACACAGCTAATAATATCAAGTGTTTGGTCAGAGGCCAGATTTGAAGTCAGGTCCTCCTGACTTGAGGGCTGGTGCTCTATTGACTGTGCCACCTAGCTGCCCCCTGCATGATTTCTAAGGGACCTTATGCTTCTGAGCTTCAGTGGGTTTCCCTTGATTACAGGAATATGTGGATTGAATTGAATGAAGTTCTAGGTGCCTGCTGTGGGCAGGGCCCTGGGCTCAACGCTTAAGGAGCCAAAGCTAAGAACATGCCAGTGCCTGCCTTCTAGAAGCTTACGTTCAACTGAGGGTAGGTAAGACTTACACAGACAAGCAGGATTCAGGGGAAGTGAATTTGAAATCACTGTGTTCCTCTCAGGCCACTATTGGAAATCCCAAAGTTTCTACCTCTTAGAGGGTGTGAGAAGTTATGAAAAGTTGGGGCAGGCTCTTCCTTTTCATTCCAGGAAAAAAAAATTGATGTAAAGCTTTTCTTTCTTTTTATTTTTTCCTGTTTCTTTTTTTTCCTTTCATAATTTTTTTTATCCTACACTTAAATACTAAATGAGAAAAGAAAAAAAAAACATGTGCACAGCAGACCATAAGAGAGGATTCAATATAAAACAATAGATTTCCATTTCAAGAAAACCTATATAGTAAATACTACAGATTTTCTTTAAAACTGCCTAGCTTTTCTTTGCTTGCTTTTCTTTTGTCCTTTGCTGTGTACTTTTTACTTTATTTTTCCCCCTCCCTCCTTCCCCTACCCTAAAGAAGGCTACAATTAAGCGTGGAAATACATATACACACACCCCCACACACATACCCCTATGCATATATAGATACATATATAAACACAGATACATATATATATATATACACATAGATATCTATAAACATATATGTACATATGTAGATACACATATACATCTATATCTATAAACGCACACATATATGTAAGACTGTACTAGGCTGATTTCCTCCTTTCATCTGTTTCTCTAAACGTGGGGAGCATCTTCCTGCCCAAGTCCAGATCTTTATGGTGGCAAAGAACTGGCAGTTGCAGGGATGCCCATCAGTTGGAGAATGGCTGCCCGAGTTGTGGTGCATATTTGTGGTGGAATACGACGAGATAAGGGAGAGAGGCGTGAGCAGAACCTAGAGAACACTGTGTGCATAAGAGCAGTATTGTTTTAAAAACAGCTTGAGTGACTAGGTCATTCTGATTGTCATAAATACCCAAGTTCAGCTCAGAATCTTATGAAGGAAGATGTTTGGATCCAGAAAGGAATCTCGTTGCGGCATGGAAAAGGAGGAGCAGATTGATTTAGAAAAACGTGCTCTGTAGCCTTTCCAAGTGGATGCGTGGCATCCCGGGGAGACCCAAATAGAACCTTTTTCTGTTGGTAGGGAGAAGGAAGCGTTCTTGGGGTGCTTGTTTCTCTGGAATGGGCAGCATGAAATGTTCTTTGCCTTGTTCATATGTTTGATTTGTTTCATGCCTTCTGGTTCTGTATGAGGCAGGTAGCAGAAGGGGACCATGATGGGGCAGCTAATAATATTGTGTCCTGAGGACACAGTTTTTGTAAAGGACATGTAATTGCCTTAAAAGAGCCCTTCTCCCTATAACATTTGATTTTTCACATGTATGACCAATAGTGCAGCAGGGTAAGGTTTTAATAGAATTAAAACAGCACAGCCAAGATTCCAGGAAGACTTTTTCATTGTTCCACACTAATAGACTGTATTCAACCACCCCACTTCTCCCCTAGCCAGAAACACGCTCACTTACAGACTTGAACATTAACACCCATCCTTCCATGTCCAATAACACCCGTCCATGCACACTGACACATTCATAATGAATGTTTATTAAGCTCTTGATTGCAAGGCTTCATGCTACATCTTGGAGAGAGATACACGTATAAGCTGTCTCTCACAAACTTAACCATGTATTGGAACAAACAGCCACCTTCCCCACCCTGCTGTCCAAAGCTGGCATGTATAAATTAACTTTCTTTTTTCTTTAATAAATTTTGCTCTAAACTTAGTAATAGAATTCAGGTAAACAGACAATAATAGATAAATTCGACAGCTCCAAACTATTTAACAATTGTCTTTAAAATGTATTCTAACTTTGAATAATAATTATATCCTGTTTCATCCATGTTGTCTCCTGATTTATTTGAAAGACTAGTTTTATCAGTGTTTTTTCCTTTTTACATTATAGTCATTTTCAGACTCTGACACTCCTCCCACTTGTTTTTGTAACAAAGAAAAAAAAGCCAATGAGGCAAAACCAGCTGACTTGGTGACTATATTTTGTACCCATAGCTGCCCACCTCTCCAAGGAAAAGCGGGCAGGGCATTTCCTCTTCTCTATTTCCAGGTTTTGTTTTAGTATTCCTTTTATTGGCAGTGTGTAAATAAAAGTATAGTCATCATATACTTCTCAGGTCCACCCTGTATCACTCTGCATCGGTTCATGCAAGCCTTCCATGTTTTCCTGAATTTCTCATGGAATAAATCTTTATTACGTTAATATACTTAAAATTTGTCCAGCCATTCCCCAAATGATAAGCGCCCATTTTGTTCCTACAAATTGAATTTTTTTTTTTGCCTTAAAATTTTTTAATTGATGTTTTATTTTTATACCACCTTCATTTCCAAATACATTCTTCCCAGAACAGAGTCAAGAGAGCCTGGCAGTGTATGCAGCATTCTATACTCAGTAGTCCACCATCTCTTCAGAGAGAGTAGGGGGCCACATTTTCTCACCTCTTCTGTTGTGGCCAAGCTTAATTTCACAGCTTCAGCTCTCTCTATGTGTGTTTAAAAAGTCCTTCCCAAGTCCATATCTTCCAGACTTTCTCTGCATTCTCATATTTGCCATTTCTTCCAGCACAGTAGGATTCCACTCGTACCATACCATAGCCTGACCAGTCATTCCTCAGTCTTTCGGCTCCCTCTTTATTTCCACAAATTGATTTTAACTATCGCAGATTGAAAGAGCCAAACCAGCAGAGTGGAGGACGCCCTGTGACTGACCAGGCCGGAGGCAAAGTGAATGAGATGGAATTCTAAGGATGACTAAAGAGTGACCGAAGAACTCTTGGGAGACTTGATGCTTTGGAGTTAATTAAATGAAATGTCAACAGCTGTTAAGTTTAAGTTGGTTGTATTGATGGTCAGGGTTTACTTTGTAGTAAGACTTAATTTGTTCAAAACAGCTGTAAAACCCCCAAGTTAACTTTCATGGTAAGCATCTCGTTAGACCAGGCCATCTTTAGAAATCAAGTCTCTCCAGGATTGTTCGTCTCGAAGAAGGCGAAGGGCTTTTTGGAGAAGGTAGTAGTTGAGCAGGGCTTCGAAAGATGGTGGTGGTTGTGGACAGGGCCAGGGCATTGCAGGTGGAAGGGGAAAGTAAAATGATTTGGGTATTCACAAGTGTCTCTAAATCACTCAGCAGTGAAGCATTTTAAAATGAACCTACTTGGTGCCAGGATGAGAAGTGAGCTCGCCCCCAAGTTAATTAATGGTGGCTAACTGAGCTAACCAGTCAGCTTCGCTGTTGATGGGTCAGTACAGTAAGGGATCTCTGATTTTAGTCACATCCCACAGCTTTTCCTGACTCCAGGGTCTGTATCCTTGTCTGTCTTACCAGAGTGTTTCATTGTCTCCTTAATCTAATCATTGTTAACATCTAGAAATAAATTAGAAATGTGCTTGTTCTGGCTTGTAGTGTTTTGGGCTTCAAAGAATAAATTTATTCTGATTTTTTACTTCAAAGCTCATTGAATAATTGAAGATTGTCTCTATGGGTCTTTAGAGAAAACTTAACCTTCTGTGTCTTGTCACGTTGTACACACTTTGTCTCTTGTATTTTTCTTATCTGTGTACGTTTTGTTTTCTGATAGAATATAAGCTTCTTGGAGGCGGAAGAGGGATTTTATCTTTGTATCCCTAGTACTTGGCTCATAGTAGGTACTTAGAATTCCACTCTTAAAATTAAAAAGAAAGTTATATTTTTAATAATAAAATATTTTATGACATCTTTAAATTCTAAGAGAGTTCTGAGGGAGAGAGGATTTAAGCTTGTGAGGTTTGGCAAGTAGTAAAGTCATAAGTCACCACTCATTTGTTAGACACATAGGCCTTATGCTACTTTTTCCCCTCCTCTAGTTTTAGAAAGAGTGAAGAACTTCCTACCTCACATCGAACAGGCAAACAAAAAACTGAGAGAGGAAATGGCATCAGGGCCTCCAGGCCTGTTCAATATCGAAAATGTAGATGACTGCCAGGAAAAAATCATAGAAATGGTAAGAGTGCTTGGTGTGCCTTGGTGACTTTGGAAGCTCCTCTTTCATTGAAGTACAGAGATTCATTGTTGTGTTGGAGGTTGAGACCTCTGATTTATAGAGACAGAGAGCTCCCGTGACTGGAGCATTACTTCTTGTAGACGGGAAGCCCTGGATTCAAATCCTACCACAGGGTCTGTCAAGGGGAAGGAAGCCCCTTGGCCTCACAAGTGTTGGCTTCTTCCTCTCCAAAATGAGGGCGCGGCCAGAAGCCTGGTGCATGTCAGTGCACTTTTAAGGTTCATGCCGAAGCATTGGCTGTTTGTACAAGGTTGGTGTCAGGCTTGGAGAGAAGTTGGACCAAGGGCTGATTTCTGTATTGTCATGAGGAAATTGTACTGAAGCAAGCTTTCTGTCTGCATGATTAAAAAAAAGCCTCTAAATGACACTGAACACAGATACACATTTATTGACCATTTATACTAAAATAGCTCTACAGATGGCGAGTCCTAACAGCTTGTTATTCCCTTTCGGAACCTGTCTGTTGTCTCGGCCCGTGTGTTTGGGCTGTCTGCGGTGGCTTCTTTTCTCTAGTCGTCACCGTCGACGCTGCCTGCTCTCCCTTCTGTGCTTGGCATTATTTCAAGTCAGCCTTCGTAGCCATCTTGATAATCCCTCGTGCTCTTCACTTTGCAAGGCGAGGTCTTCCGTTACATAGAGATGCCTTGGTTTAGAAGGCTTCTCACAACTGGGGGGCATTTCAGTTTCTAGGCCTTTGCACGTCTGCATTGCTGAAATGCTAGCCCTTGTTTTTTTGTTGTGTTTAACTCGATGGTGACATTTTTGGGGAGTCTAGCACGTCCAGGGAGGGGATCCCAGGGTCAGAGGGTAAGATCCTCTTTGTGACCTTGGCGGCTGTGATCCGCCCTCCAGGACGTGGCCATGGTGGAGGTGAGCAGCTCTGATTCTGAAGACCTGAGTTCAGGAGAGAGTTCCGAATCCGAGGACGAAAACAGCGTAACTGGAGAGGTCACTGTGGAGAATATTAAGCTTCCTAACTCAGGACAAAGAAGAGGCAAGATAGAAGTTTTGGACACTTGAACAACCAGAGGGATGAAGCTGTCCGTCTCCGGCCCCGTGCCTGCGCTGCACTCGGGACCCAGCCCCTCCAGCTCCAGGGGATCATTTGTGTGACTGACTTGTCCGTTTCGTGGGACATAAGCACTGCTTCTATATATGTTGTGTATAGTTCACTAGGGTTTTGTGTGAAGGTCAGCTTTCCCAGTCCCTTGCCCAGAAGCCAGCGTGGAAACAAATGGCACTAAATAAATGCTTTTAAAATCAACAAACTGGTTGAGTTTTTCTTCCCATTTAGAATAATTGTTGGAGAGAGGGAAGGAACCTGAGAGATGATCTAGTCCAGCTTCCCTATTTTACGAAGGCGCGGCGAGGTGACATGACAGGTGCAAAGTCACCTGCGTCCTTGACTACAAGCCCGCGCTCCTTCCGCCGTCCCTCAGAGCAGGCTCCATGATGTCACCTTCCAGATTGGATTGACACTCATGTGTCCTTCAGTCCCCCAATCTCGTACCTTCTGAGTGACCCTCGGCCTCTCCCTCTGGCTCATACCCAGATACTTGACCAGGCTGGAGAATTCTCCCTCCATGACCTATCTTGAACCTAGAACCTCCCCTTCTATCAAGACCACATCCAAGGTCAGACCCTTGCTCCTCCCTAAACTGGTCTGAGCTAATTAGCCTCCTGTCTTTCTCACATTAGCCAACATCATCTCTCTTCCTAAGGCACATACTGGACCGTGTCACTCCCTGACTAACAAATCTTTAGTGGCTCCCTAGTGCCTCCAGCAAGGGTTCTTAACCTGGCATCCATGTACTTGTTTTGTAAAATCTTTTGATAACTGTTTCAGTACAATAGGTTTCCATTGTGACCCTATGCATTTTAGGCACTTAAACACACTCTGAGTAGTCTGTGTCATGCAAAAGGTTAAGAATCCCTGGCCTGCAGGATAAAATAAAAACTCTTAGCCTGGCATTTCAGGTCCTCCACAGTCTGGGTCCCACCCACCTTTACAGCCTTGTTTTGTACTACTTCCGTGAACTCTGCACTCCATCTGAACTGGACTAGGAGCTGTTTCCTGAACTTGACACTCCGTGGAATCTCCAGCCACCATGCATTTATATAAGCAGTTCCCCTGGCCTAGTGCACATTCCCTTTTCCTCTGCTTTATCTCATGGTCTCCTCCCCTGTGAAGGCCTTCCCTGAGCCTTCTTGTTAATATCCTTCCTAAAATGTGGATCTCAGCACCAGAGACACTTACTAGCTGTGTGTCTATGGGCAAGTCACCTCTCTTAGCTCATTTTATCAATACAACAATGGGAATCTAAGTGACTCTTCCAGCTCTAAGCGTGGGACCCTAAGAACCCAGTACTTCAGCTGAGGTCTGGGGTCTGAGGGTAAAGTCCACTGGGACTCCTGCCTACTTGGTTCAGGCTGGTATGCTTTGACGAGTTACCCTCCCAGGTTGTCTTAAGTAAACAGCATTTGGTAAACATGAGCAACCATTAGCTTATGAGCCTAGTAACGTCCCCCTGTCTGTCTTGCATTGCTAACTCATACTGAGCAGTTTGCCAATATACTCTGGGTTTTTTTTTTCCTCCAAATGAAATCATTATGTACAAGTGTATTCCTGAGCCTATACAGGGAGGTAGGTGGCCTAGTAGAATTGATTCTCACAACCCTCAGGTAGGTGCTATCATCCCCTCTATTTTACAGATGAAGAAATTAAGGCAGACAAAGGTAAGTGACTTGCCCAGGGTCACACAGCTAGTTCTGAGGCAGGATTTGAACTCAGGCTTTCCCAACTCTCAGACCAGCACTGTATCTCTTCAGAAACCTCTGCTCTATTTCTCATTGGTTTATGTCATCAAAAATGTGTCTAAGAGTAGCTCCCGGATTCTAATTCATTTGTAGAATTTCAGGCCAGGAGATCGTACTCTGACATTGGTTTTCCCTAAATCTATAGGTCAGGGAAAATTCAGTTCCTGACACTAGTGGGTAGAGAGGAACAGTTTGTCCCCCTAACTCCTTCCCATCTCATTTAAGAAAAGGGAGGAAATTTATGGGAAGAACTGAATTCTGTGCATTAGGAAATCACTCATACCAGTAGAAGGTCCACAGCTGACATTTTATAGGATTTAAGTGAGGGAGGGCTGTGCAAAGTCACCAGCCTCACTTCCTCCCTCTGGAGCCATCTGGGTCCAGTGGCCAGATATAGATAAGGATGACTGGAGTTGGTCCCCACAAGGACCATGAAGTGGCTTAGGGAAGGAGAGATGGGATCATGGAAGTGAGAATAGTTCTAGACAATGGTGTGTCCATCTTGGATTGTGGCTTGGGTAAAATGAAGATATGAGTCAAGGAATTGGAGTTAATAAACTGGGAGGCTACAGTGTTGGGGAAAGACAATTAGGCACCATAGGGGTAACTAGGTGGCACAGTGGCTAGAGCACTGGCCCTGAGTTCAAATGTGGCATCAGACACTTGACACATACTAGCTGTGTGACCCTGGGCAAGTCACTTAACCCCATTGCCTAGCAAAAAACAAACAAAAAATAAATAAATAAAAATAAATTAGGCACCAGACTCCTCAAGAAAAGTGTAAGCTGTTGCAATGAGATGGAAAAGGCTGCCCTGGCTGGTAATTCTTAACCTTGCCTTCCTCTTCTTTCTGCCCTAAGGGCTCTGTGGATAGATTTCAAGGTGTACATGAACTTGGGTAGGAAAACCATTATGTCCTCTTTGTACATACCAAAAATCTAACTGAAATGGAGCATCTCTCTATGAGAAATGAAATTTTCTCTCTTATATTTAGTAACTAATTATTGTATTAGGACCAAGGTTTTTCCTCTTTTCTGCTTCCTCATCCAGAAACCAACCAGTGTGGGAAATCTCTCTTAGAGATTTACCCAGGCCAAGATCTAATCAGGCAGTAAAAGAAATTCTATGTTTGGGCTAATGGGTGTATTTCTGCTTGTGTTTGTATAGACAGGTCTGGGGAAAGATTGATTCTCCCTATCATCAAGACTTTGACCAATATTTGAGTGACCAAGTCACAGACCCCAAGACCTTCATTTTAACATAGCCCACACCTGTCTTTGTGTTAACCAGTCCAAGTTGATCGTCACCCCTCCCTCAGAAATACCTTCTCTTCAAAGGCCATCTAAACTGTGAGCCCACCACCATTAGGGATCTTTGATCCAAGAGAGATGGCCAAATGACCAGCCTTTTATTAATAACTTGCTGGCCTTATTAATAAAATGATTTAATTACCCAGAAAGCATGTCTCTCAAACCTTTTTAAATGTCACATCTCCAAGATATGAAGGCAGGCAGCAAACCCCAGTCACATGAACAGTACTAACTGCCACCAGTAGAAATCGCAGATGTTTCTGTGTTACATTACAGTTGTGGCATATACCTCTAAATACTATTTATACTCATCTCTACTTGGAAATTACTCCTAGTTATTAGACTCCCACCATTGTCTCTGCCCAGATCACATGTGACCACAGCCTTCCTGCCTAGAGACTGGCTGGCAATAGAATGGGTTTTCCTTGTGATCCTATGTATTGTGTTGTACGCATTTTAAAAGCATGAGTGCATAGGCTTCATTAGACTAACAAACTGGGCTCTGGCACAGAAAAGGTTAAGAAACCCAGGACTAGATGGAGTGAACCTCTAAGGAAGAAAAGTAGCTGAGGGGAGGTCAGGAGGAGCTAGGCAGCAAGACCCTCTCCCTTCTCCAGTCTCCGTGTGATGGGGCCTGAGAGGAGGTCCAGCTTCTGGAGACGAGGGTCAGGAAGGCAGTGCATTCTAAGGGAAGCCAGGTTATTTTGGCCATTATGTCTGGAACTTTATAAATAGTAGGAACTTCATTGTTCTTGTTTGTCCTCCGTTCTCAAAGAGGACCATGATATCAGGAAGGTGATGCCGTGAATTGGATTTGAGTGAGGCAGGGCTGTGCAAAGTCACCAGCCTCACTGTTTCCTCCAGAGCCATCTGGGTCCAGTAGACAGATATAGATCAGGAAGACTGGAGGTGGCCCCTGATGCAGTGGGAGACCTTGGCCTTTTCAAGCTAAGGTCTTTCTTGGGTGTCGATAGAAACTTCATAAATGCCTGCTGAATGAAGGAATGTAAGTGGCTAAGGTGAAGGTATGTCTGTTGTTGGGGATTCCTATCTGAGATGGCCAGGCAGGAGGGGGCAGACTCGGGTGACCCGGGAAGAGTGAGCAGCAGCCTGCTGGCCTCAGGAGAAAGATGCCCCAATCCTAGGCAGTTGGGAAGAAGCGTGTAGTTGAGAAGTGCTGTTTGGCTGGGGCTCCCACCCTCAGGGTCCTATGATGGAGATAGGAATTGGTTTATTCTCTCTCAAATATCAGCCATGAAGGGGGTTTGGAAAGGACTTTGGGGTCAGGAAAGGCCCATGATTGGTCCCTAGGGACCTGACATCTTACAAGGTGGCAGAGGACGATACCCAGGCAAAAGAAGAACTAACCGTAGGGTGCTCAACGCAACAAAGAAACCTCGATTTCTAGGCTTATGTGATCACCGTTCACATTCTTTATTACTGCTTATTAGTACCAAAGAGGTAGAAAATACTTTTAGCAACTTAGTGTGCGGATTAGATTCTACAATCTGTACATATCATACAAAAGTGATATTAAGGGCACTTTGTCAACTGGTGAACAGTTCTATGGTACCACAGGTTGTGAAGGAATAGGAGTTAACAAGGCTGGATTGGTTTTTAAAATTCAAAGAACTTGAAATCCCTTATAAATGTGTTTAACGTACAACCTTGTAGAAACAAAATTGCTGTAATTAGTTATCAAGTGTAAAAATATTCAAAAAGATTCAGGCTCACACCCATGCAGATGATCAGAACTGTAATAATAGGAAACTTCTCTGTCTTTTTTTGCTGGTTCTGTTTGTTCCAACAGCACTCCCAGGAGTCCTATCAAGCGCTGGGTGGAGAACACAGTGATGGAGATTACCTCTAGAGGTGATCTAATATTCCAGAGTGACTGCCTTCGTTTTCAGGTACTCATGGAGAGCCTCTTCTCCTGGAGGGGAGAATACCAGTTAGTGAAGATGGATACTGTATTACTCTCAGATAGGTGCTATGTACTTCTGTATATTAGCTGTGTTTAAAAAAAAAAAAAGATGGGGGAGGGTGGGGTCAGAGCAGGAAAAGAAGGCTTCAGAGCTGCCCAAGGACACTTTGGGAACAAGATGCTTCTTCTTCCTCTCCCCTCTCCATCCCTAACTTCAGGCTGTATGGTGATATCTTTAGCAAGTTACAGTCTAGAGCACAAGTTCTTCGCTTTTTTGGTATTCTGGACCCCTTTAGCAGTCAGTCTGGGGCAGCCTGACCCCCCCCTCTCAGAATCACGTTTTTAAATGCATAAAATAAAATACAGAAGATTACAAAGGAAATCAATTCTACTGAAATAGAGTTATCAAAATATTAAAAAAAAAAAGTTCAAGGCTCCCAGGTTAAAACCAGGTCCTGGTCTACGCTGTTGTTCTTAAAAGTCAGGGAATCCATGAGATTAGGATCTTGGGATCACTGATTTAGAGCTGGGAGAAGCCTTAGAAGCCATGAAATCCAACTAACCTGTGGGAACTAACTATTCCCCTTCTACAGAGGAGAAGTTGTTAAGATTCTCCTTTTTTTTTTTTTGGCTAGGCAGTGGGGTTAAATGACTTGCCCAGGGTCACACAGCTAGTAAGTGTTATGTGTCTGAGGCCGGATTTGAACTCAGGTCCTCCTGACTCCAAGGCTGGTACTCCATCCACTGCGCCACCTCACTGCCCCTAGATTCTCCTTTCTTATAAATAAGCCTGATTATATGGGACTCAAAGAATATCAGAGGAGCAAATAAAGTTCCAATATTCTAGGGAATCTTTCCTCTACCATGGGTGACAGCAGCATCCCCAGAGTATATTCACATACCACATTAAGGTCTACAAAGTACTTCAAAAACAAATACATCGGTGGTAGCTAGGTGGTGCAGTGGATAGAGCACGGGCCCTGGATTCAGGAAGACCTGCATTCAAATGTGGCCTGGGACACTTGATGCTTACTAGCTGGCCAAGTCACTTCACCCTATTACTTTGCAGAAGGAAAGAAAGAAGGAAAGAAGGAAGGAAAGAGAGAAAGAAGGAAAGAAAGAAAAAAAGAAAGAAAGAAGGAAAGAAAGAACGAACGAAAGAAAGAAAGAAAGAGAAAAAGAAAATAAAAAGAACTGCATCTCAAGAATGAGGAAAATCTTCCTTCCCTAATCCAGTGGAATGTAGAACAAGTGATCCATGGTCGAAATTGCAAATGAGTGTTAGAAAGAACAAATGTAAATTATGTTGAAGACTAATTTAATGGTGTTTACTGACAATCTGTGCTGTGGGAGGAGTGGCCATCCCAGTAAAACATGGGTATCTCTTTAGGTGCATCAAAATGCCCTCAATTTAGTGCATGTTGTCCGTTTCTGGAGGGCACACTGGAGAAAATGTACCTGCTGCCCAAGGGCTGCTAATGTACTATTTGAGGTGAGTGTGGGACACTGTGACCCGCCAGTGTGGTTCACAGTCAGTGACCGTGTTGACTCAAAGCTCCACATGGTGATCAATATTTACTCCTGTTGCCTGGTCATTGTCCATGACCATTCTTTTTTTCCCCACCTTCCCGATGAGGCGATCAACACAATGCAAATGGCAAAGGACAAGCTGAGAGCCAACTTTAAAAAAAAAAAAGATTTCTAGTCTTCCCATCTCTAAAACAGGTACAATCCCTTCCTCTTAAAGTTTACCTTGGGCTTAAAAAATATCAATTGTCATTTCAAAGTGCCTGTCATCCTACATGTGACTTTCAACAGTGTTTCTTCCTAGCTTGGTGCAAAAGCCCTTAGAAATGACTCTAAACTTCCTCAAAACGGACTTAGCATCTTCTATGACAGGTTAAGCTAGGGATCAGGAGCACAAATATAGCCTTACCCAAGTCTTTGCCAAAGCCAGACTGTTTCACGCCACCAAATGGGGCTGCCACATCAGTCTTATTGTAGGTATTAATGAAGACCGTCCCCGCTTCCAGCTTTTCACTCACATACATGGCTTTGTTTATGTCTCTTGTGAAAACCCCTGAAGCCAGGCCATACTCTGTGTTATTTGCTTGTTGCAACACTCCATCAATATCCCTGTAAGATTTTTTTTAAAATCACTTTTCTTCATTGAACATAACACACACTTGACTTCATCCTCTTAATGTTTTCCGCAAGCTACTTCATGCAATATAAACCCGGAAATTATTTCATAGATGAAATTTACTACTAAAAGCCATGGTCACAAGGCATTCAAGGCATAGGGACTATACCTGAGATCTTATTGCTCTTGGGAGCTTTGAGATGAACAGACTCCCTCTGCCAATGCAGGTTGCCACTTGGGCTTTAATTTCCAGTCTCAGAGAGCTACATGGGGCATTAAGGGCTTAAGTGACATGCCAAGGGTTATCTGGAGGTGTTGGAGGTGGGACTTCCACCCAGGTCAACTCCTACACATTCAAGGTCATTGAAGACCTGGGCCCCAGCTTAATAAGATTACCAGTGGTATTTATCACTTAAGTAAACAACTTTCCTCACAACAGCCCTGTGAGGGAGATTCCCTGTCATTGCTTCTCTCTATGAAAACTCCACTTCAGACAAAATGGCCTGTTCCCTTTCCATGGAAAATCAGGTCATCTCTACCTGTAACGACCTAAAGGGGATGAGATGTCTCCATGGAAGAGGGACTGAATGAAGGAGGCTGAGGTCACTTATGGAAAGGGCCATAAGGCAAAGGTTCATAGTGGGTCACATCTGAGCTGGGTTTTGGAGGAAAGGCTGCATTTAAATAGGAAGATTATTCTAAGCAGGAGATAGACACACACAAAAGCACAGAGATGGCAAAGGGCAGATCGAATTCATGGAAAGGTCCATAACTGAGTTTGGCTGAAATGTAGAATGTAGAAAAGGAAGTAGACTGTGGTAAGAAGGGAAAGTTCAGCAGGGTCCAATTTGTGGAGAGCTTTGAATATCAGGTTATGGAATTTGTATCTTCCTCAGTAAGTCATGGGAGGTCCCTGAAGGTTTTAGAGCAGGGGGATGGGTCAGTGGTAGAAAGGAGGGTCTAGAGATAGAAAAGCACAGTTAGGTGGCATGGGAAGCACCAGACCTGAAGTTAGGAAGATGTGAGTTCAAAACCCAGCCTCAGATACTTCCTACCTGTGTGACCCTGGGCAAATTACTTAACCCTCTTTGCCTCAGTTTCCTCATCTATAAAATGGGCTGGAGAAGGAAAGGTCGAACCACTCCAGTATCTTTGCCAAGAAAACCCCTGATGGGATCACAAAGAGTCAGACACAACTGAAAATGACTAAACAACAGAGATAGAGAACCCAAGCAGGACATTAGAAGAGTTCAGAAGAAAAGTAATGAAGACCTGACCTAGGCTGGTAGCAGTAGGGATACAAAGGAGAGACTGCAGAGGCTGGGTCAACTAGGACTTGAAAACTGGTTGGAAGTAGGAGGTGAAGGAGAAGAGAGGGCCCAGTGGTAACGGCAAGAATGGTGATGCAGCCTGTGGCCAGTTTTGAGGACAAGGTGTGTGAGGGGACAGCGGGACAGCCTGGCAGGGCATCCAGCTGACCTCTGGATGTGGTGGTCAACAAAGCCAGTGAAAGAGAGAGGAGCAGGGAGAAGACAGAAAAGGCCGAGGTTAGAGCCTGGGGGAGGAGCCACATTCAGGAGCTGGGATGAGGAAGAGGAGTTGGGCAAGGAGGCAGAAAGTGAACAAAGGGGTGGGAAAACCTGGGAATCCAAGGACAGGGATGGTTGGGAACACCAATGTGTCCAAAAGTCCAAGGAGAATGAGGCCTGAAGAAAGGACCTTGAATTTGGCAATAAATCATTACTGATTTGGGAAAGAACAGTGACTGTAGGGTGGCGAGGCTAGGTAGGCACTGTATTACAGAGAGACTGAGGAGTGAATGGTGAGAGAGGAAGCAGAGAGAGTGGGAGTTTGGCAGAAAAGAGGAGGGATGATGAGGTGAGAAAGACCCGGGCCAGGGTGTTTGGGGCACTGGGTGAGGCCTGAGCTTATCGAGAACAGAGAGGAGAGGTGGGACACATAAGAGAGAAGGGATCCTGGGAGACAGGAAGAGATGGGATCAAGGGCACAGCTCTGGGATGGAGGACCACTCTTTCTCTTAGAGGAGAGGGAAGGAGGAGACCGAGGTAGGTAAAGACAGAACTTTTGGGGTGTGGAGGAGGGGTGAGGGAGCTCACATCAGACGTTCTTGATCTGTTCAGTAGAGTAAAAGGTACGGTGGTGTGATGAAAAAGAGAGGGGAATGGGAGTGACATTGGGGTGGAAATTTAAGGAGAACAGAAAGTCTGGAATCGTTGATGGGGTGATGACGAATAAACCCTTCCCTCCAGCAGTCAGGGTCTGGGGGAGATCAGAAGGCCCAAGTTTGTGGCTGCCACAGTCATAATGATCTGATTTCCTCCAGCAGCCCTCAGTAATTCAAGGCCACTGTCATGCTCGATAGTAGAAGCCTATGCCACATAAATTGCTATGTGTGAATAATACTGTGGCAAAGAAAAAAAAAATCAAATTAAGATCTAAATTTAATTGAAAACAGAAAACCTACCCATTTTTAAACTTAGAAATGACCATAATAGGCCCAAAAGACTCCTCTTTGGCAAGGTACATGTGATCTTCAACATCCGTGAACACAGTTGGCTCCATAAAAAAGCCTAATCCAGGAAAACAGATATATAATGATCAATATAGCCTTAGTAATTCTCAATTTACTTTCTTCCCATTTAAACATTGTAGGGGTCATAAAAATACGTATCTTGCCTTTTTATTTTTCAAAAAACCATTTCAATAAATGTCCCAGCTATAGTCTCACTGAGGAACCTCCCTCAGTGCTTGGGGCCTCCCTACCCTGGACGATACACTATCCACCCCTGAGGCGTTCTCTTCCTGCAACCTCCCCTTGCCACACTGGTCTCCCCTTTCCCATTGGTGAGCTCCTCCTAGGGCCGCCATTTTGAGGAGGGGCCCAAGTTGACCAACAACCTTCACTCTCTTCCTTGTGGTGCTTCTGACTTCCTGTACTTTCCCAAGCCCACCACCGCTTTGTGCTGTCTCCCCTCCCTGAGGGCAGGGACTGTCTTTTTGCCTGTGTTGGCACCCTCAGTCTGTAGTCCAGTGCCTGGCACTTCTTAAGCTCTTATTCAATGCCTAACTGGATGGCAGTGTCATATTTATGTTTTCCAGTTCATCTCAAAGATTTTGGGCCAGTTCTACCTTCTAGGACACAGGCCTTATTTTGAGGAACAGAACTTGATTTTTCCCAGGTAATAAGTCTCAGGATGACATTCCAGAATGCCCCAGCTCAGGTTGTATGGACGTTACATGGCAGTTACCAGTTGTTGACGGTCAGGGAGTAGAAAGACCCCTGGATTCAGAACTGGGGCCTGATCTTAGCTCTTCTACTTATGACCACTAGAGTGACTTTGGATCACTCACCCAGTCTGAGGCTCAATTTTCTGATCCATGAAAATGAAGTTGGGCTGCATGTCTGGAGTACTTTCCAATTCGAAACCTCTATTCTTTATGTTTACCTAGTGTTTACAGACTCACATGCATTGTTTTATTTGAGTCTCACAAGCCTCTAAGGAGGGTGGGATAAGTATCATTCCCCCCATTAAGAAAACAAAAAAAAGATCATGAAAACTGTATCTCGCAGACATTAAGTGACGTGGCCAAGAGATGAGAGAACAGAGCTGAGAAATCAAGTCAAGAATCCGGTTTTCCCTTTCCTTTATACCATGAGCCCATAATTTTTGGCCCAGGTATGACATGGCTGTGATTAAGTGTCCACATCCATTTCACATTTAGGAAAGAAGATGACGCTCTAACAATCTGGCCTATAACTAAAGACAAGGAGGCACAAGGTTGTCCTTACCAGGCCTGGGGACTTGTCTTCCTCCATACACCAGAGTGGCACCTTCTTTCACCCCCATCTCACAGTATTGTAGAAGCTTGTCCAAGTGGGCCTTGTGATTCTGGGGGCCGTGATCGGTGGCTCTGTCCAGGGGGTCGCCGATTTTCATCTTTTTTATTTCTTCTACCTGTAGATCCCCCACAGTTAATCAAACACAATTTACGGTTTATAAAACACAAGCTGTGTTAGTTCCTCTGGACTTCGAGCCTTTCAGGTGAACAAGCTGTCTGTTTTTTACTAACACAAGACACAGACAAACGTGCATTTCCACGAGGCTACATGGCAGAAATATTTTTAGGTCTGGCATTTACCTCAATGATGAAAATTTAAAATGATAATAATAGTTAACATTTATGTCATGCTTATTACGTGCCAGGCAGTGTGGTAAGAACTTTATAATTATTTTATCTCATCCTCACAACTCTGGAAGCTATTGTAATCCCCATTTTACAGATGAGGAAACTGAGGCAAACGGGATCACCCAGCTAGTAAGTGTGTGAGGCCATATTTGAACTCAGGTCTTCTCAGCTCCAGGCCCAGCATCCAATCCTCTATGCCACCTGGCTGTCTCTCTGTCTTTTATATGACACCTGGTTGACACCATCATGGCCTTCAGTGGGTCACACTTACTAACAAGGTGAAAAGCCTTGGCTACTGATTTTATCTCATCAAATGTAGAATAAAGGTGTTGGACCTAGAGGAATTTTAAGATCTCTTTAAGGTTCTTAAAAAAAAATATTTTCCAATCACTCCCTTATATCTCAGAACCACTTGTGTTATTTGGTTAAAAAAAAAAATACACAAGTATAAGAAAAATATAGCTGAATAATAATAGTTCATGTGAAAAGGGACATAGGAGTTTTAACAGATGACAAGCTCAAAGCTGTGGCTGCCAAACAGAACAAACCAAACCCTAGTATGATCACAGGCTTCATATTAGAAATCTGGTGTCTGGAAGGGGGCACATGGTGGTTCAGCTGTCCTCCGTCTTGGTCAGACCACAGCTTGGATTTTTTTTTTTAATCTGGGCACCATATTTTAAAGACGGCATTAATAAACTAGAACGCATCCAGAGAAGGGTGACCAGTATGTCGAAAGAACTCCAAATCATGCAGTTGCAAGAATGTTTGATGGATCTGGGGATGGGGCAGCTAGGTGGCACAACAGTGCATAGGGTGGCTAGCTTGGAGTCAAGAAGACTCATCTTCCCGAGTTCAAATCTAGCCTCAGATACTTACTAGACGTGGGGATGTTTAGCCTGGGTTAATGACATTTATGTTGAATTCAGAGAACATGTAGGATGTCTCACCACTCGTCTCACAAATTCATCATGAATGGATTCTTCTACAAATAACCGGCCTGCTGCAATACAGTTCTCGCCCTTGTTAAAATACACAGCTCCCATGCCCTTTGAAAAAAAGAAAAGAAAGGCTTTTTTTAAACTCGAGATGCTTCCTCGAAGCTATATGTGGGAATCTGCTAGTATTTCTCTGCTTACACCACAGCTATTGGGTTAGCTATTAATTAGACTGGGGCCTGGAAACTACATTAGGCTATTTATTCATGCCCTGACACATGAGTTATATTTAGAGTTACATTTTTCCCTTCCTTCCTTTTCCCCTTTTGCTCATTAGCACTTCTAATATTGTTTTGGATAAATATAAATTCAGATAACCATTTTTTAAAGTTGGGAGAGGCTGAGTTTTGCATGCACAGAAGACCTCATATGCATCTTTGAAATATTAAGATACACAGTGCAACAAATTATGTAAATGACTTGGTGCCTTTTACGCCATGTGAGTTTAGAAAGGAAAACTAGGGAGAATTCTGATTCTGATTTCAAGTTGATGTCTACTAATATGCTTAAGATAAAAGTTGCCCATGATGGCAAGATTTTCAAATATGGCGGAACTCAAGGCCTCACCCAGGTGTTAAAATTCAGTTTTCAGTATACTTCCTCCAGGAAGACTTCCTAGACTACATAAAAAGAAAACGTTTGATTCCTTGACCTTTTGTATGCTTATGCCAAACTCTGATGGGTTTAGTCCTTCTGATTCTCTGCTGCCTGTCTTGTCTGTTTTGTGTTGTGAACCATTTGAGGGCAGGCATGACTTTTTAAAGGTATACTATATCTTGTCCCCAAATCTATTTAAATTTTAGATTTCTGATGGTCAGCAAAGACCATACAACACTGGAGCCTTCATAATTCAGAGTTACATTTCCTGTATTGATCTTATGTTCATTTACTGTAAGTAATTCCGAGGATGGTTGGTTATTTAATGAACATTTGCACTCTGTTAAAAACACTTCCCAGTGTGTGACAAGGTGACAGACTTCTCTCCCTTCTCACCCTTTTGCAATCTTTTACTTCTCCAATACTGTTCCTGCTTCTCAGGGAGTCCCTTGAGTATATAGTTGTGAAACCCAGAAGTGAGTAGAGACATATCAACAAGGATTATGAGTTAGTACACATACCTATCGACAATATTTCTGGATTTACTGCACTACTGGCCCCAGTTAAATCAACCTTTAACCTTCCTCAACTGTTAAGACCTCCCTAGTCTGGGACACGGCCCCCCAGCAATATCGGCCAGTCAAGATGCCAATGGATTGGCACATTTGCCTGATTTAATCAAAAGATTATTCAGGGCTGGAATAGCAGAGAATTGCCCAGACCCTCCCAGGGGTAGGAAGAGGGATAGTTCAGAACCTGTGCTTCAGCATGGCCTGTAAAGCTTTGACTCACCTCTCTTTGTAAGGAGCCAAGTCTATTTCTATGAAGGCAGAGAATACATCTTACTAATTCAAATAGTGCCTTCTCCCCAGGAAAGCAGTATTTGCCAAGCCTCTGGATAAATGCTCCCTGTGGGAAATTAAGTACTATACTAATTGCTTCCAAATCCCATTGCTACAGATTTATACGCCAGGTTTAGCAAGGACAAACTATATCCTTGGATTGCAAAACCATATTTTGAAAACTTAAAAGAATGAACGTTTTTAAGGAGTCTTTTACTCCCACCCAGTGGAAAGCATGTGTTACGTTAAGCCCTTGAAATGCAATCAATGAGGAGGTGCACAAGATGGCAGATTGATTAGCAGCTGTCCCCTCTTACCATTCTCACAGCTTTGTCCAGTTCACAGTCACTAAAAATGATCAGCGGGGACTTGCCACCAAGCTCAAGGGAAACTTTCTTCAAATTACTCACGGCACAGCTTTGGGAAAAGACGGGAAAAATTAGCATTTCATACTGACCAGATCCTTCTTACTTCTCATCCCTTAGTTGAGCTGTTGGGAAAGGGGTAACCACCTGACAGCAACTGACAGCTAAAGCTTGGGGATGACTGGTGTGACAAAGGCCATATGCACTGGCACAGACCCAGGAGCTTCTCTCTCGAGGCCCTGAATGCCTGCGGTCCAAGGCTTTGGTCGCTCATTCCTTAGCCCTGAACCGCACTTTCCAACACGCCTTTTCCATCCTCCTCTGGGTCCACCTTGGCACTGAAGTCACTGAGTATGAAGGTGTATTGGGCGGCTCTCCCCTCTCCTTCTAAGTCACAGCCCACTACACTGAAAGCCACAGGAAGGAGGTACTGCTTCTATTCGACCCTCTCTTTTGGAGAGCTTATTACAGAAACAGCCTAGGGAGATTGTAGAACCTGATCTAGCTGGTTAATGGGTGGAGATGGGAAGAGAAATGGACCTCCTCTCGGAACTCCAAAAGATTCAGCGGGGGGGATGCTGAGAAGTGGGAGGTGCATAGGACATAAATGACTATGGATTGACCTGGAGTAGACAACAGAGACTGGTTTGAGTGGTCTAAGAAAAGGGTTTTTCCAGCAGCCCTGTACAGACAGAATTTGTGTGGAGGGTGGCACTTTGGGTCTTAATTGGTAAAAAAAAAAAAAAGGATTTGCAAGAGGCACCCTGGGCACCTAGTACATGAAAGGGCAGTTTGGCACTGTCTGCTGGGCATCTGATAGCTGAGAGGCTTTCCAGCACGCCAAGAAGCCAGCAAGGCTCTCCCTCTCATGCAAGCTACGTGAGCCAAAGGGGAGAGTAATGCGCTGTGAAGACAACAACATTCCTGCCAGTTGGGCATCCCACCTCTTCATGATTTGTTTGCCAATTGCCGTAGAACCGGTGAAGCCAAGTTTGCGAATATCTGGGTGTTCAGATAGGTGCTGTCCAGCTAAGCCGCCTGCAAGATGGGGAACAAAACCTAAACTGTAAAATCATTCTTAAATTCTGGTGAGGGTAAAGGGAGATCTGGGTGAAATCACAATGTGAATCAAAATTTACATAAAGTTAAATCTGGTAAACTTGAACTAATCATTTTTTTCTACAAGGCAAAAAATAAAGGGAGAACATATTGAGAACCTGGTTGCCTGAAATGAAATGCCTTTTTGTTTGCTATGGAGCCTTTTTAATAATTATTCTGGACTATTCTGTCCCCTAAAGTGTTTCTAAATGGGGTTATTTTCTTTTCCATTTTTCATTTAGATCAAATTCCTGCCTCAAACTCAGGGCAGGGCATTTCCAAACTGAAGCATGTCCAGAGAAGGGTGACCAGGCTGGTGAGGGGCCTGGAGACCTATTATTTATGAATAAGTGTTGTCCGTCCTTCATTTTTGAAGAGGGTTGAAGACATTGAGAGTGATGTTTCGACTCGCACGTGAACTGGATTTAAGCGAAGTGGAGCTGTGCAAAGTCATTGGCCTTGTTTTCTCCTCCAGAGTCATCAAAGTCCAGTGACAAGACAAAAGTCAGGACGACTGGCCGTGGCCTTTGTAGCATAGAGCATGTTGTAGTGCCCAGGAATGCTGGGAAGACACGAGTTCGGATCTTGCCTTTGCCTCATGTTAGCTCTGTAACCCAAGGAAACTCACTCATCCTCTCCGGGCCCCCGTCATGTCTATAAACTGCAGCTTTGGAAGGTGCTGCCTGCATAGGTCGAGGGAGGGGGTTTCTTCACCCGGTAGTTCCTTATACCCATGAAATCCTGGGTCCAGTCTCCATCCCTGTCCCCAGCCTCTGTGAACTTGTTGTTCAGTCCTTCGAGTCAGTGTCTGACTCTTCATGACCTTGTGGGGCCATAGGGTTTTCTTGGTAAATATACTGGAGTGGTTTGCCTTGATCCGCTGGGGAAGGAAATGACGAAGAGATGAGGTGACTTGCCCAAGGTCACACAGCTTGTAAGTGTCTGAGGCCAGATTGAAACTCGGGTCTTCCTGACTCCAGGGCCGGCACTCTATCCACTAAGCCTCACTGCCTCCCATGAATATCCCCTGTGAATACATTCTGTCAAATATCATCTACCGTGAACAAACAATCTCCATTCCGTGATGGCTACTTTGACCTTTAACCTCTCAAATTAAACTAGTCGTAGATGTGGGTTTTCCTGCTTTTTGTTTTTACAAAAATGTCTCCTTCGAGGAGCAGCTTGCCTTGGAACGAAGGCCACCATCTTAGCACTGAGCTCATCATCATGGGACACTGGGCAGTCTACAATGGATTACAATGTAATATGATACCAAAATGCTCAGACTGGCCGTTTGTTCTTTTAGAGAAAAGAAATTCTCCTCCTCTCTGGAAAAGTGGAAAAGGGAAAAGCCCTTGATTTCCTGCGGGCCTCTTGGCCACGAAGGTCCCCAGGGCACAAGCCTTCGCCTCTGTCCTCTCTTGTTAGGAGCACAACGAGGGGAGCAGCGGAGAAGGCCCAGAGCGGTCAGCACCATGGATCTGGGCCAGTGCTAGAGCGAGCTGGGTCAGGGCTTCACTGGCCAGAGAGTCACGGGGAGAAGTGAGTAATCACCATCAGTTTGAGTTTCATAGTTAACGTGATCATCGAAGCCTTCACATTAAAGGAGGCACTTTTATTATGCTACAGACTGAAGGGATTTTCTTCTTGTCTTGGTGGTCCTCACTCATGTTTGAAATGTTTCGGGTATGAATTCTGCACTGGTAAAAATCTGAAATATTTAATAACTGGCTCTCTAGAAGGAAAAAAAAAGTGCCCTCGACACACACTTTTAAGTTTAATTTGCCTCATTAACATTTCCTCCATCACTTGCTTAAGGCTAGACGACTAACAAAACTATACATCAACCCCTAGGCTGTAGCTGCTGATTTCTGAGGTGTAAATGCTCGCACTGAAATTTTAACAACCGGCTCCCCCAATTCCGAGGCATTTCTGTAATGAGTAAACTGTGCTTGGTATCTAAGTCTTGTGGTTTTAGTTCTTTTGGCCTCTCTCAGCACCTACTGTCACGGTGACACTGAGCACTCCCACAGCAGTGGGGCCCTTCTCCAGCCCAACATTCCCACTTGGGATTGCTCCACAGGGTTACACCTGGAACCCAGAGACCCAGCTGGCCCCGCCCCATTCCTTATGGCAAAATGACTTGGGAAAGTGGGTTTTACCTGAGCCGGGAATGATGTTGATCACTCCCTTGGGAAAGCCAGCCTTGGCGGTGAGCTCTGCAAACTTCAAGGCTGTCAGGGGCGTAACCTGAAGGAAAATGAGTCCAGTGAGGCCATGACCATCCTGCTCTTGGACTCGGTCCGAGGAAACTCTCCCCCAAGGCTGTGTCTCTGGGCTTGGCCACACAATTCAGAGGGACCAAAACAACAGCACAAGGAGATTCTGTCAGCCCCAGCAAGGCTGCCTCCTCAGTTCATCTCTGTCTGGGAGCTTAGGCCCCTGATCTGGAGGGAGAAGGACCCTGAAAGGTCAGCGGGTCCAATGATTGGTCTTACTGAGCCGAGGGCAGAGAAATGACTTGTCTAATGACATGAAAGTGACAGTAAGAACGGGTCACCTTCACCCGGCGCTTTAACATTTATTTAAAAAAATCAAACAAACTCCCCGTCACAAACTGGTGTGGTGCTAGTCTAGTCCAAGGATTATCACCCCATTCTGCAGATTAAGAGACTGAGGTTGAGAGGTCAAGAAACTCGTGCAAGGTCACAAAGACATTAAGAGTCAAAGGCAAGAAACAGAGTTGGGGCACATCTTCCAACCCAGCACTTTTTCCTACTATAGGAAGAATTGACGATAATCATGATAACAATAATAATAAAATTTATATGTCATGTCAAGGTTTGCAAGGCACTTGGCAAGTATTATCTCATTTTATCCTCAAGACAACCGTGGGAAGAGGTATGTGCTATCGTTATCACCATTTTACAGATGAGGAAGCTGAGGCAGAGAGAAGTTAAGTGACTTGCCCAGGGTCACGCAGTCAGTAGGTGTCAGGAGGAGGATTTGAATTCAGGTCTGTCTGGGCTCCAAAGCCGGTTCTCTGTCTGCTAAGCCAGAGGTTCTCAAAGTTTGGTCAGAGGACTCCTGGGGGTCTTTAAGCCTCTTTCAGGAATCCTGCAAGGTCAAAATTATTTTCCTAGCAGTCCTCTCCCCTGTAGGGAACCTGGCACACACTAGGTGCCTAATAAATGTTTCCTGATAACTAACCTGTCAGTGTGAATGTGAGCATGAGGGGGTGCTGCTCTTGCTGTATAAAAGAGGCACAGATCTGAGAGATCATGGGGTGCATGGATGTGCAGAATCTTGTCTTCAGGTTTCAGTAGCTTGAGGGGTTTAGCTGAGATGCTTGGTCACACAAAGGACACTACGAGACTAAGGGCCTGGAGTCTAGAGGACCCAAGTTCAAATCTAGCCTCAGACACGTGTTAGCTGTGTGATCCTGGGCAAGTCACTTAAGCGGCTTGCCTCAGTTTCCTCAACTGTAAAATGGGGGTAGTAACAGCACCCACCTCCCGGGGCTGTTCTGAGGATCCAATGTGATAATGGCTGTGAAGCACCTGGCCTGTAGCAGGCACCACAGAAATGTCAGCTGTCGTTATTCAGAGACTCCTAATCACTGGGACAGTTTTAGATGAGCTCCCTGAACAGGGAAACACTAAATGGACGAAGAATGCCTGTTGTTTAGGGGACAACGAGGAGCTGAGCGGACAACCTGTAAATGCTAATGGATGTGTGCTATCCTGGTCACTACAAAAGGACGCTGAGCCAGGCCAGCTGAACAGGACGGGGGGGGGGGGGTGCGGCCTGGAGGGCCTTGAAGAAACTGCAAGGTTCTTTCAAGGACGCCTAGTGTGTCTCTAAAACAAGTTTCTCTTTTTAATACCAGTATTATCATTTTTAGGAACACATATGTGATATTTTACTTTCCCCCCAATTACATATTAAAACAATTTTTAAACATTTGTTTATTTTTTTAAAGTTTTGAGTTCCAAATTCTATCCCTCCCCTTCCCCTTCCCTGAGATGGTAAGCAATCATATAGGTTAAAGTATTATTTTAAAATTCATTTCTCAATAATAAAAGTCTATTTCTTTCTCCCCCTCTTCCCCACCATTGTAAAAAAAAAGGGGGGGACCCCCTTGTAACAAATATGGACAATCAAGCAAAACATCCCAACATTGGCCGTGTCTAAAAAACGTATGTTTCCTTCTGCTCCAAGTCTGCCTGTGACAGGAGGTAGGTAGCAGGCTCCTCATCGTAATACTCATATTACCCATAGGGTTGTGGTATGGCTGGGAGTTAGGTAGCACCGCAAGCTGGAGAAGCTTGAAGTGGTCCTTCCAGCAGACCCCATGTGCTCTTCAGCCCACTTTAAAGCCCTTATTTGATCAGCACGGGGTACTATGAGTTGTTCTGCTGTGTTTCACCACTATATTAACACCACCGGCAAATTTTAAAGTATATTTTGTGAGAGGAAGTGGGGAGAGAGAAAGAGATAAGGGGAGCAAGAGAGTTTGAGTAAGAGAGGGAGGTAAAGGGAGGGGATGGAGGGAAGAGAAGGAGACTAGAAGAGGGAGAGAAAGAGAAAGGGAAGAGAGAGAGAGAGAGAGAGAGAGAGAGAGAGAGAGAGAGAGAGAGAGAGAGAGAGAGAGAGAGAGAGGAGAGGGAGATGGCACATAAGTAGGGAGCCTAAAATAAATTCCTTAAAAGAATGGTATGGCCATGCCACTGGAGGGAAGGGCAGGAGCCGGCAACGTCCAGGACAGGCTGTAGGATCATGTGCACTTATCTGAAGACTAGCTACATATGGACAGAACCATCACCAAAAGGCTGGCACCAGATGACATTTTTCTCATCTAGAGAAACTTGTTGGCACGTCTCCCAAGGTGTGAGGGGATTGCGTGGGGCTGCTCCTCTCAGTCACAGAAGTAGGAGATGAGCCTATTTGCCGAGCCTCAGCCTATTTTTTTTTTTGGTGTGGCAATCAGGGTTAAGTGACTTGCCCAGGGTCACACAGCTAGTGTCCAGTGTCTGAGGCCAGATCTGACCTCAGGTCCTCCTGACTCCAGGGCTGGTGCCCTATCCACTGTACCACCTACTGCCCCTACCTCAGCCTTTCTTATGTTACCTGTGCTGGCTTGAGCACCAAGGTGTTGCCTGCCGCCAGACATGCTGCACTCTTCCATGCCAGCATCATTAGGGGATAATTCCAAGGAATGATAATTGCACAGACGCTACAGAGGAAAAAACCAAAGCATTAAGTCACTTACTACCAGCTCTAGCTGGACAGACCACCTGTACAAGTCACAGAAGGCTTCTCTCACCCCAGAGGTTCTTTCTTGGTGAAGGTCAGATTACGGTTTGGGCGGGCTTGGTTAATCGGGATTGTAGAACCCTAGAAGAAAACAATGAAGATTTGATCCCAGTGCAAGGACATGGATTCCACTTTCTAGAAAAGTCCACCTCCATCCTCCCATCTGCTTATTGCCATGATGCAGTTAAGTTCTGCTTCCTGAAGATCATAACGGCCAAGAGCGATAAAATCAGGGATTGTGACCTGGCCTCGGCCAGCCCGGCCCATGAGGCACCCTCAAACATTCCTGCTGCCCACCGCGACACGCCGTGCTGACAACCACCACCACAGTGGATGCGTTTCTGGAAGGGCCCGGATGCCAAGACAAATGAACGTTAGCTTGCCTGGATTTTGTCACACCAGCCTGCAAAGTATCGGAACGTCTGCACAGACATGCCGATGTGGGTCTTCAGAGCCAAAGTATACACAGCCCCGGAGTCAATGGCCTCGATGGTCGCCAGCTCTTCCTGGTTTTCTTCCATCAAGTCTGCAAGTCTGTGAGACACAGGGCCGGGGACAGAGCAGGGCTGAGCCACAAGTTGTCATTCACACACACACACACACACACACACACACATATCCCATTTACAGAGTAACAGCTACTGATATGGCTCTGTGAAACCAGATAAATATAAACCTACCAATTACATAAAATGAAATTGTAAATGTGAACTTGGCTGTGACTGTATAGAAAGTTTCACACCAAGACCACAGGCAAGCCAGTGACAATTTATTCTTTCAAGAACATACAGGAATGAGTGTTCTGCTAAGGAAAATGATACTGCAGCATTTATTATGTTTATGTGCATTTATCACATCAGAGTGGGGTGGGCATCTAGGTCTCAGGACGGTTTCCTTTGACCATTTTGGTTCAAATACAGGCATATTTACCCCCTCAGAGTTTATTTGTGCAAATCCTGCGTTCTGCCTACGCTCCCATTCTTGGTAAAGAAATCACAATAAAAGTGACTAGGCAAGGAGAACAGGTGAACAGTAACAGGTGAATACAATACCTTTGAAAGGGCAGTATGGTCTAGAGGAAACTGTTGGACATTTAGAGCCAGAAGAAGGAGGTTTGAATGGCGACTCTCACTTCCTCCCTGTCTAGGACTCGGTGTCCTCATCTCTAAGATGGGGGGAGTGCCTCTGGGATCCCTTCCAGACCCAGATCTGTGTTTCTTAGAGTGATGGAGTAGCTCACCAGCCATCGGACCTGGGTTCTAGTCTCAACTGGGAAGTTTACTCCCTAAGCTTTGAGACATCAGGGCCAGTTCATGACCTGAGCTCAGTTTCTTCTGCTATAAAATGGGGATAGTGATATTTATACTGCCCACCTCATAGGAATGTTGTGAGGTTAATGTTTTGTGAAAGGCAAGCTGCTGATTGTAATATGGGTCATTATTTTAATGGGAGGGAGTGAGCAGGGACTTGTATTCCCAGCGCCAGGCACACAGTGGGTACTTAATAAATGCTTATTGACTGTGTTCATTTTAATAAATTTATTCTTCAGTACACATCTGATATTTCCCTTTCATTAAGATCTCATTTAGTGCCTTCTCAGGGTAACCCATGTTCAGACAACTGTGATAAGATCAACACAAGTGTGTTGGATTAGCCTCCGGCAAACCCGGGAAGTAAGCCAAGCATGTGTCTTTGGTGTCCCGTCCATTCCTACTTTCTCCTCTTCTGTCCTCTGGGGCTCCTACCCCAACCCTAACCAGAATTGGGAGGTGGGAAAACGGAGGTTGCTATCCTTTAAAAGCTCTGCGGCATGGTGTGGTCTGCCTGGGGATGGGCACTCAGCTTCAGGACTCATGAACTGATACCTGGCCCTTCCTGCTTCTCTGTGGAAGACATAGGGTACTCCTTGCTGCCCCTCCCCCTTCCTTCCCGGCCTTTCTACCCAACCTTCATCTCCAACCCCCACGGCACGTTGCTTGATGCAGACCTAAGCAGAGAGCTGTCTTAGCAAACTGTGACATAAAAATAGGGATTCCACAGGTAATGGGATAATGTACATAATGGGGAGAGGGAGAGAGAGAGAGAGAGAGAAAGAGAGAGAGAGAGAGAGAGTCATTCACTCCTCATATCTAAATGACACTTGGATATTCTGGAGGGATTTAAAAGAAAAAAAATCTTAGCCAATACCCCAAAGGCAGAGAGTGGATATTTAGTTTTTTGTCATCGTTTTCATAAACACACCTGTACATCAGTCTTCCTCTTTCTCTGGCATTCATTTTTCCCCATTCGCCATTTTCAAAGGCATCTTTAGCAGCCGCTACTGCTTTGTCAACATCAGCCACCGAAGCATATGATACTTTACATATGGTCTATTTTAAGACAATGAAAGCAGATTCGTTTTAAGAGAAGTTATCAAATTATTACAGTCAGAAAGGTTTGATCTTTTTAATATTTCCAGAGTTTACAAGAGTGCCTTGTGAAAGTCTAATAGTCATTTTAAATATTATTTAATTAATTGTTAATTATTAATTTTAAAATATTAAATATTAAATTATTTTTTGATGATAGTATTCATTTATGTTAACAGCATGTATGTCATTACTGACATTGGGTAAGATCCAGTTCATTTTCTAATCCCACTACTCAGGAAAGCTCAGCAGTTCTAAACATGAAGACCCCTGAGTGGTACCATACTGGAGCAGGAACATGGTGGGAGGCCACTTTGGTTCTGGAAGGAAGCAGAGATTCTTTGTGTGATCAGGCCGTGGGTCCCCCAGGCCTCAGGTGTGCCTTTTTCAGAAGTTCCCCAGAGGGGCTGGGGGCTGCTGATAGAACCCTGGACCGGGAGGTAGGGCCTGGGGGTGGATGCTGCTTTGCATTTGCTATCAGTGCAACCTTATTTAAAGATCTCTAAGAGCTTCCTTCTCTGTAAATGAGGAAGCTCATTACCTCTACCTCTACTGTTCTTCCTCATTTTTTCTTTTTTGCCGAGAGCACTTCCTCCTTTCCAGTCTCCCAGGTTCACAGCTTCAGGGATGTCCTCCGCTCTTCCCTGTCCCCAATGCCCTCGTCTGGTCTATTGCCAGACCTCGTCATGCCCTCCTCTCTCCTCAGTCACCCCCCCGAGGTCAGGCCCCCATTACTTCTCGCCTTGGCCATTGCAACGCCCCGCACTTGGTCTCTCGCCAGCCTCCAGTCTCTCCCCAAACCAATCTAACCTCCTTACGGCTGCCCAAGCCATCTTCCTCCAGTACAGGGGTGACCCTTCCCACCTCACTGCAGCCACCTCTGGCTGGCCTCCCCGTCTCCAGTCTCTCCCCACTCCTGGCCGTCCCCGGGGCTCTGCTGCCAAAGTGATCTTCCTACAGCTCGCTCTGTGACGAGGCACTGCAGAGCTCTGGAGAACTCCCAGGATCAAGTCCAAAAGCCTCTGTTTGGCTTTTAGGCCCTGCCAACCTTCCTCGTCTTCCCCCCCTCTGTTCTACCACCCAGGGATGGCACCCTTGTTGCTCTTTACACATGACAGTGGGGCATTTTTACTGCCCACGGCCCCTGTGTGGAACGCTCTCCCTCCTTGCCTCTGTCACCGCTAAAGGCCTGCCTTCCACCAGGAGCCTTCCCCGACCCCCTTAATCTTAGTGCCCTCCCTGGGGTCGTCTCCACTTTGTCTCGTCTGTATCTCCTTTGTGCACTGGGTTTGACGCCATCCCCTCCACAAGACTGTGAAGTCCTGGAGAGCCAGGACCATTTTCCCCCTTCTTTTTTATCCCTAGCACTTAGTATAATGCCCAGTAATCAGCAAGTCAAGTCAGCCAATACACCTTAATTAAGTGCCTCCTATGTGCCAGGGACAGTTTGGTGGCGCCATAGCGCACAGAGCGCCAGGCCTGGAGTCAGGAAGACTCATCTTCCTGAGTTCAAATCTGGCCTCAGACACTTACCCTGGGCAAGTCACTTCGCCCTGTATGCCTCAGTTTCCTCATCTGTAAAATGAGCCGGAGAAGGAAATGGCAAACCACTATAGTACCTCTGCCGAGAAAACCCCAAATGGGGTCACGAAGAGTCAGACAGGACTGAAATAACTCAACAACAGGTGTCAGGTGCTTTCCTAAGCTCCGGGGATACAAGAAGACAAAAGCTTGCTGACTGAGTGACTGACCTTCTCATTCTCGGGCTCATAAACTCCAGGTGCTTCCTATTGTTTCTAGGATAACAGAACATACTTTCCCTGTGTTTAGCCTATGGAGCCTTTCACAGCTCAGCTCCCACCTGCCTTTTCCAGGCCCGACATTCCTCAGGCCCAGGTCCTGCCAAACTGGCCTGTTTTCTTTTCCCCGTACAGACCTTTCCATCGCTTTTCTTCTCAAGGTAAACACCCGGAGTTATTTAGTGGCACTCACTAAATGCAGCCCTGAATTGAGGTAAGCAGATGGCATAGACACAGTCCTCGAGGTGGCTCTGTGGCCTGTTTCATGGTTACCCACAACGCTCACACGCACATCCCAGAACAAGGACTTACGGATCCGTCGGTTGGGTTGATGGTGTCATACGTCTGTCCATCTTCAGCGTTCACAAACTGCCCGTTGATGAAACACTGATAAGGCATTTTCAGGGTCATATTATTGATGTCTTTCGAAACCTGAGAAAGGCCCAGATCAGAAGTTTTGACAGATGTGCATACTTTCCTACTCAATATAGAAACAACAGCTGCTGAGGGAAACTCTATGTAAGTGCTGGGAGGGAAGCTCGGTCCATATTGTCCTAATCTCTACGGTGTGTTTCCTCAGTTCCAGTCAATCAGAGTCATCAAAGACTCTTCCTCAAGAAAGATGAGGAACCGATGAGGGCCTCCGGGCACTTGGTGTGGCTATGTGTTAAGAATTTGGGTTCCAATCCTGGCGCTGCCCCTTAATACCTGCGTGACTTTGGCCAAGTCACTAGACTTCATTTTACTCACCTGAAAAAAATGAGGGGGTTGAACTGGACCACTAACTGACCCCCAGGTCCCTTCCAACTCTAAACTTATGATCTCAGAGTACTTAAAGGGAGGCCCTTCCCATTCTGAAGAGGCTGTGGGTTTCTTTTTTTCTTTCCCAGGTCATAAAGGAACATGGTATCATGAAAAATAATCTAGACTTGGAGTCACACACGGATCACAGGATTGAGAGTTGGACATGAATTTAGAGATCATCCAGGCCAACCTTCTTATTTTATAGATGAGGAAGCTGGGTCTGTCCCTACCTGGTAGGATGACCTAGTCCAAGTCTCCTGCCCCCTCAGTTTCCTCATCTGTCCAATTTAACTCAGACTGGGCTCTAGACGAATGAATCAAACCCTAAAGCATGGAAACAGCGCCCTCTGGTGGCTGCATGTCTTGTGCACCCACAACTTGCACTAGTTTTGGGCTCTGAAATCCAAAGTTCCTTCAACACCGATTGATTTTTCATGAATCCCAGGCCCTTTTTCTCTCCTAAAGTCCTTCTCCCTCTTTCTCCTGCCTTCTCATCCTCCGTTGGTCTCAGATTTTTCTTTCCTTGTGCTATTTCCAGGATGCTTTCAGTGGGAGACATAAAAGGCGTGGGGAGATTTGTGTGTAGTTTCAAATGGCAACACCAGGAAGGGTCTTTCAGCCTAATGCTGGCAGCAGATCCCACCTTCCAGTAAACATTCCTTTCCCATCCAATGTTCCTACTGTGTTTAGGGCAGTGGCGTCAACCTCAAACAGAAACGGAGGCTGTTAACCTGTATGTGAGGATTCCTGCAAGCTGCAAGCTGACTATTTCAAAACGTAATATCACCTATGTTTTACTGTATTTTCATTCATTTTGTTAATTACCTTCCAATTACATTTTAACCTGGTTTGTCCTGTCGTGGGCTGAATGCAGCCCATGGCCATGCCTCTGACAGCTCTGATTTAGGGATGATGGAGAAAGACGAGTCTGGACTGCGCTACAGCAGCTCAGAACATGGCCCATCTTCCTAGGCCATTCCCTTTGAAGCCAATGCTGTTAGCCACATTTCACAGAACCATGGAATGTCAGAGCTGGAGGGGACCCCAGAGGCCACCAAATCCAACTTGTACCTGACACCAAGACCCTCTTTCACCGTCCTGGAGGGAAGCGATCGATCATCCAGGTTTTGCTTCCAAACCTATCTGGAGTAACTGAGGACCAACCATCCTCCCAGGACAGCTCATTCTACTCTAATTCTTGGGGATTCCCCCTAAAGGAATCTGCTTCTCTGTACCTTCTACCCATTGTTCTTACTTCCCTCGACAGGACAGCCTTTCATATGCCCAAAGACAACGCCCATTTTACTTCCTTCTGTTCCACTAACAGAGCCCCTCTAATACTCAGTGGACAGCTCAGGAACACGGGGCGGGGGGGTGACTTACATAGTCCACGACCAGCTCTTCCTCTTGATCCTCGCCCCGAAGCTTCCTCACAACCACCTGGATGAAGTCTCCAAACTTGGTGGCCATGTACACGTCTTCGTTCTGCAGCTGAAGCCCACCACATTTCTGTCGGATCCCTTCAACCAGCCTTAAATCAAAAGAAGCACTAATTTGTATGGCGGCTGTGTCAATGGGAATGAATCCAATCCCAGAGTTGGTGAACGGCTCTAGCCCAGGTCTGCTGCCTCTCCTCTACTGCTCCTTCCTGTATGTTGTATCACTTTGGGGTTGTGTGTGAATCACAGGGAAGGAACTGGCCATGTTCTGGATATACACTGGCACCCTGTAAATGATGTAATGAGGTTAATAGGTCACAAAATTACCCTTACCTTGCCTTGGGCTCACCTTTTTGGATATGACCATATTAATCAAAATCATCCTTCCCAAAGGCACGAAGGATTAGCTATAGACCAAGTCTCCTTCTTCTGTTTAGAACTGTTAAGCTTGGAAGAGCCAGGTTGGGTGTCTCTTGGCTCTGAACCTGCTCGGCACATGCCTAAAAGGTACTACTTGGCTCTTCCACCCCACACAACGGAACCTCATGGAACCTGCCGACTTTCAGCTTCACACGTGTTAGAAATGCTTATTAAGGAAGACCTGACCCTGTACTGACCCTGAATCTCTGCTTAGGCCCCTTGGCCTCTGTCTCCACTGATATTTGGAATGGCTGATGTTCAGACAGCCAGCCCCACTTAACATTCTTTACCTCATATCTAGCTCTTGGCCTGCCTAGGCCTTCCTCTGTGAGTAGCTTTGGCGGCACAACAGTGGAGCTTCTTGTATTTCATGTGTCGCTCCAGTGGAATCTGAGGGTAGGATGATGTTACAACTTGCCTGGTAACCATCATCCCAAGTTTATTTCACTGGGCGTGGTTTTTTGGGGTGGGAATAAGGCATTCTCGCTTCGTAGTCCAAGTCAGAATCAACCGTGAGCTTTTTGCCACGGCCCTGGCCTCTACAAAACTTCCCAAAGTCTTCTCAACATGCTCCCATGCCCTCTCCAGCACACCACATTTATATTGTCTCCCTCTATTAGAACATAAGCTTTTGGAGGCTAAAGCCCATTTATTTGCTTATATCTGTATTCCCAGAACGTGTCACGGTGCCTGACACATAGTAAATGTTTAATAAATGCTCCATCTATCTATTCATCCACCCATGTCCCTATCCATCCCTCTCTCTAAATTCATCTCTCTCTCCATTCATCTATCACCACATCCAGCCAAAAATTGTACAGGAAATCCCCAAATTTCTAACATTTCTGACTTCAGGACTTTTCAATGTACGATATCTTTCTTGTAGGTGATTAAACCAGCTAAAGAAATGAATGTGAGGCCAAATTTAAAAGAGGAGAGGCAAGTAGCAGGGACCAAGGGAAAACAGGCCAGGGCAACAGGAGAAGAAGGAAACAAATGTGTGCGTGACTAAGGCAAAGGAAAAGTAATGAACTGGTTTAAGTGCCACATATATGAATGGCTAGTAGAAAATGTCAAACGGTGTGTGTGTGATACTACCTGACAACATCCATTGAGCTTGCCCCAGATTTAAAGAAGTCTGTGGAGTCCTCAACGGCAGAAACGTTGCTCAGAATTCCTGCCCAGATAGCCTACACAAGAACAGAAACAGTCACGTAAGGAAAGAACATTTTAAAAAGCAGCAACTTATGAACCGAGGGCAGCTTCCACCCCGGCCTTATCACCTCTGCCCCAAGAGTGAAGTGTGACAGAATTCAGATACAAAGTTAGACGTTCACCTTGATTTCTTGGGCCACTTTCTTTTCCTCATCGGTGAGTTCTACCACACATGTTTCCCCCTTTGAGAAGTATTTAGAAGCAGGGATCATTCTTCCATCTTCGAATTGAATATTTTTCACCACTAGCTATGAGGTGAGAAGAATAACTGGGTTAATTACAAGAATTGGGCAGGTTAAATGGGGGAAACTGACCTTACCATCACTTTGGGATGACCTATGGGGACGGGGCAGAAGCGTTGGAAATTCCTCCAAAGTTCCCAAACATGACTTCCCAAGTTTCTAGATGCTCCCAGCTAATTCACCACTGATTAGGGTTAAGACGTGTGCAATCCCTGGGTCTGGACTCCTATTCTGTTCTTTTGTCTTCCAATAAAGTTCCTAGTGCTAAAATAGCTTTTAAAAGTAAGGAAAAGCAACAGCAAGTTTGATGGGATCCAGAGCATCCCTGGATGGAGGCCTCTTCCCTTTCAGGCCTATTAATTGCCTTTAATCCCCAACACACCCAGAGCAGGGTGGGGTCTGACAGAGGGCCAGCAGAGATGGCCCCAATGGGCCAGTGCCCCGGGAAAGGACACCAAAGATGAGTTTTCCTTCCTCACTGCTTTGCCCAATGCGGGTCTTATTTTGTGGGCTCCAGCTGGTGTCTTCTTCAGTCACAAAAATGGTGCTTGACAGTCATCTGTCTGTGTCCCTAAGAAGTTTGGTCCTAGGGAGCTAATGAACGTTCAGCAACTTGTGGGGAGGGTCTAGGAGACAAAACGTACGTAGGACATACTTTTAAGTTTAATCTGTGTTATTAACATTTTCTCCATGACCTTCTTAGGGCTAGCCAATCAATAGTAAACATCAAGCCCTAGTTTGTGGCCCTTTGGGGACTTCTGAGTTGTAAATGCTGCTAATGGAAATTTAACGACTGACCCCTTGTGAGCTTGTCTGAGCTGGCTCCAGCACACCCCTGGCCTTGGTACCTTAACTAGGGGTTTTATCTGGTTTTGTGTCATGGGCCCATTTGGCAGGGTGATGAAGTGATGGAGCTCTGAGAATCATGTTTTTAAATGCATATAATAAAATACATAGAATTGCAAAGGAAAGCAAGTCTATTCAAATGTTTATACCCACGTGTATATATGTATGTGTATAAGTGTGTATTTTAAAGTCCACAGATCCAAGGTTCAGAATCCCTGCCTTAGAGAATGATTCACTCACTTAGCACCTTTGCAGAAACTCATCAGCTGGTAGACTGCTACTGAAAAATGCCAAAAAATATCTATAGAGCACTAATGGGTAAACATTATGGACTGTACAATTTCCTTTCTCTTATCAACCAGAGGGTTTTTTTTTCCATTTTTTAATCTCTGCTACTATTTCCATTACTCTGGAACATAGTAAGTAACTTAAGTGCTCATTCATTCCTTCATTCATTCATGAGGATGGCAGTTGATTGTGTTTCTAACCATGGGGCTTTTTATTATGTTCAGTTTCCCATTTAGAGCAGGCAGGCTGTATTACAGAGCTCGTTTGAAACTTTGTTCGCCTTTAATGGCGGTAGGGTTCCCACATTGGCCCCAAAGCTTATTTAACACCAGCTAACAGAACCATAATCACTATAATAGCATTAGAAACGGTAAGGTGGGTTATAAATGTGACAGGGGTATCCCCAAATCTCCATCTGGGAGGCTAGAAACCCAATCCACCTTGTTTAGAAGGAAATGCTTTCTGTACCCTGTGATGGGACCCAGTTCCACCTCTGAAACTTAGGGTGTGTGTGCCCGTGGGATGCTTTGAGAGCAGGGAGTTAATCCTGTGAGCCAAAGGAGAGCCCCGTAAGATCTGGTTCCTGTTTCCTCAGGTCAGATGGTAAGGCTTTTAACTTGCATTAAAAAAGACATGTTATCAACTACACTGACTTACTGTCCTATGTTGAAACAAGTCCTTTATCTCTTAGTGAGTGAGAGTGCTCACTGTAATTGCTATCTTTCCTAATGTGGATGCTGTCAAAGATGAATCCTAATGTCAGAGAGTTGGACCCATTCCAAAGATGCTCTAGCCAGGGAGTGTAGATACCCACAGAGCCTGCATACTCCTCAATCCAATGAGCTCACTGTCTTTGACCAAAGAGATAAACACAGAACAGTAGGGGCAGCTGGGGTCACTCACCAAGTCAGTCATTTTAGTCAACTCAGCCATGGATGACAGACCACATGGGGCTGGTCCTCTTCACTTTCTTATAAAAACTTAATGGGTTAGACCATAAACAGAAACAAGATTTAAAAAACATCAGTTACTATTCCAAGGACTCACCATTTTCCCATCATTGCCAAAAAGAACCAGCCCATTTTTGGTGACAAGACCCGGCTTCTCAGCACCTTTGATTGCCAGGGGTTCTCCAGGTGGCACAGAACCGTCCAGTAATGACGAGCCATAGAATGTAACCACCTAATAGGGACATTAATAAAGACATTAGGAGATAAGCATCTTTTTTTTTCTAACCAGGACCATCTTACATTGTTGGTGGGACCAGAAAATAGTACAAATGTTTTAGAACGTGATCTGACAATTTGTAATAGAAATCACTAGAGCGAATGTATCATTTGACCCAGCAATGCCACTGATAGGATTTGATCTTAAAGGGACAATAAGAAATCTCCAGTGAAGTCCTCTTCGGGCGCCTCGATGTGGTGTGGAAAAGACCGAGGCTCCTACAAGGCCGGGACTGCAGAGCACCAGCTCCGGGGGGTCCTATGGAGCCAAAGGGCTTTGAAGCCAGGCCTCCTGATGGACTCTAATTGTTGTCCAAAGACAAGCCTGGCTAAGTTTGGGGAAGGCTCATCAGAGTTTGGCCCCGATGGCCTGATTCCTTCACCATGACTCTCTCCTAAGCTGCAAAGGGGCTACAATCTGCATCAATGCAGGGAGCACTTGACTCAACTCAAATGTCACATCCTTACAAAGGCCTTTCCCAATTCCTCCCAGATATGAGTCCCCTCCCCCCCCACCCCCCATTGCTGAATATTTATTTTATAAATATCCTTTATTTACTTATCTGTGAACATGTGGAATTCCTCTTGGCATCATGTAAGTTCCATGAAGGCAGGGACTGTTTTAAAATTTGTATTACTAGAGCATAGCACAGTACTGGGCACATACTAAGCATTTAAAACATTCTTGACAACTGATTGAGGTTGGGCTTTAATGGACTTTAGTCCATTAAATTTCAATATGCTCATCTGGTGTGCTTTCACAATCTCTTAACTTTCCCCTCAAGAAATAAGAAGTTAATGCTGTCCTAGGCTGCACTAATAGAAAACTCTATTCCAGGACAGGGGAGGGGATTGTCCTCATTGTAATCTGCTCAGGTCACATCCTCTCTGGAGGACTGTTCAGTTTCACGTTTCAGTAAAGCACTGACAGGCTGAAGCATCCAAGGGTGAGTGAACACGGAGAGGAAGGGCCTTGGAAGCATGACGAGAAGAAAAACCTGGGTACATCTGGATGTAAAGGAAGAGGCAGGAGGAGGTAACAGCTAAGAGGCCAAGGTCAGGAAGAGTCTGGTCTCCACCTGTAATACTTCTGACAGAGAAACAAGAAAAGAAAATCAGGCGCAGCCCTGGGACATACCTGGGTGTCTGTTTCTGCCCAAGCTCCAGGCACTTTGTCATGACCACGAATCCAGTTGTGCAAAGCTTCTGCAGGCTGATCCCAAGAAATCTAGAAAGGTAAGATACTTAAGTTGCTTCTTCTGTGCTGGGCCAGGTGGGGCATGCACAGTGACCTTTCTCTTAATCTTTTATGGCCTAAGACGTTCTATACTTTAACCGTCTCATTTTACAGAGGAGGAAATGAGGGCTCAGAGTGGGGAGGAGACTTGCTCAGGGTTACACAGGGAGTGGCAGCCCAGAATTTGAACCCAGGTCTTTCATGCTCTTTCTACTATATTGTGCTCCTTTCAATCACAGTAAATGTAATGACATATTAAGATGGCTAACTTGAAGTCTTTTCTTCAAGAAAAAGATTTTATTAAAAGTATTTTATGTGAGATTGAGATATATAGGTGGCGCAGTGGGTAGAACTCCAGCCTTGGAGTCAGGAGGACCTGAGTTCAAATTCGGCCTCAGACACTTGACACTTACTAGCTGTGTGACCTTGGGCAAGTCACTTAACCCTGATTGCCTAGCCAAAAAAAAAGAGAAGAGGTTGATATATATATATATATATATATATATATATACATATATATATATATATATATAAAATTACCATATCACTGGCAAAATATCAGTTAGTTAACAAGCATTTATTAAATGCTATGTGCCAGACCCTGTGTTGAGCTCTGGGGATACAAAGAAAGGCAAAATTACAGTTTCTACCTTCAAGAAGCTTACATTCTAATTTGAGAGACAACATGTATCTAATTGTATAAATAAATAAATAAATAAACGAATGATTATAGAATGTAACTAGAAGGTAATCTTAGAGATGAGGGACTGGGAAGGTGTAGGGAGAAGGGAGAGGGATGGAGAAAGTTCTCCTGCAGAAGGTTAGATTTTAAATGAATCTTGAAGAAAACCAGGGAAGCTAAGGTTTTTGGAGGTCAGGCATGGGGGACATCTAGTGCAAATGCAGAGAATAATCAGGAAAATAATGCTTGCAAAATTGAAAGACCTTAATGGAATCTTTTTTTTTTTAATGAGAGAGGGAAAAGAGAGGGGGTGGAAGACAGTGAAAAAGGAGAAAAGAGAGGAGGCAGAAGAGAGAGAGGAGAAGAGAGAGAGAAGAGAAGGGAAGGGAGAGGAGAGAGGAAGGGGAGGAAAGAGACAGTAAGGAGGAAGGGAGAGAGAAAAAGAGGGAGACAGAGGAAGGGATAGAGGGAGAATGAGAAAGGAGGTAAAGACAGGAGGGAAGGAGGAAGAGAGAGAAGGGAAGGAGGGAGGGAGAGGAGGAGGAAGGAGACAGAGGGACAGAGGAGAAAGGAAGGAGAGAAAGAGAAGGATAGAGGGAAGGAAGAGGGAATCTCTACTGGGAACCAGACTCCACATGAGATGAGGAAAGCTGGGTATTGTTGCTACCAGTGCTATGCTCTCTTCCCTGTTGGAAATCACAAGCAGGGAAGAGACCAAGGCAGGGGTTCAGAGAGCTACAGGGTAGGGCTTTGAGACAGACTGGAACACTGAACTCTATGTACTGGGCTGAGTCATTAAGTAGGATTTTTTTTTCATTTGGGACAAAAAGGGTTAGGAGGGGAAGTAGGGAAAGGTGATGGTTCACCAGCAGTCTCATCATGGGGGCAGGAGAAAGCATGTGGAGCAGGAAGGACAGACAATCCCAGTTGGAGAACTGCTTGTTAAGCATCGAGTACATTCAAGGCAAGGCCCAGAAGTGGTTCTGCTGCAAAGCAGCCCGGACCAGTGGACAGCTGCTCCCTGCATCAAATCTGTTTGTCCTGGGCTAGTTGTGGTCTTAGTTTGAGGGACCCTCCAAGCACATATCCCAGAAAGAACACAGAAGTTCTGGGTTTGAATGCTGGCCCTCCTACTTCCAGGGCAAGCCATGCTAGGTCTCAGTTTCCTCCAGCCTTCCAGGGTTTGACAGAGGATGGATCTCTAGGGTTCCTTCCACCCCTACATCCCAAGGACTCAGATTCTATATTCAGTTGATGAGACCTTAGCATTTTCTTTTTTCTGGATGCCTTCATATGTGGCGCCTTCCTTTGACTGAGGGATACGAGGAGCTTTGCCATCGGCAATCAGCTGGACAGCTTCTGCCTAAAAACAAAAATAAACATCACCTTTGAAAATACAGAGCAAACTGCTCTCCATCCAGGATTTTGGTTAGCTAGGGGCTGCTATCTACAAGTTCAGAGATTTTGATGTAAATTCTACACTTGGCATGAAAACTAGACTGAAATAACTGAATCTGTCCTTGATGATTCAGAAGCACCCGAGGATCTTCCAGGTCATTACCAGATAAAGCAGCACTGAGGAATAAGGACTGAAGCATCTGGAGTGAGATTCTATAACTGACACCACTTTTCTGGTGCCCCCGGGAAAAGATCCCAGTAATTTCTAAAGGCCATTCCTTCAGGTGTAGCAGAGAATGTGCACTGGTGGAGAGAATACCCAGTGATGTAAGCGTAGATCTTTGAAGGAAATTCCCCTTCATGGCAAAAACAGACTTACCATGGCCTTGATTCCTTCTGGGAAAAGGAACCTATTATAAAGGGCATCCACTGTGTCATTGGGCTCCACATCACATTCCCTCTGAAGGAGAAGGGGCCCCGTGTCCAGACCGTTATCAGCCCAGAAGATGGAAAAGCCAGCTTTCTTATCTCCCTGAATTAAAGTCCTGCAAAAACAATTACTTCCACTTAAAAATAAAGCCCTCGGATGGATGGGGTGAGTTACACAATAACTAGACATTGGAATAGGCTCAAAAATAATTGCCTCCAGAAATTCACATCAGTAGTTAGGAGGCAGAGAAGGGTCAGCCTGTCAGGTCTCATAAGAACCAGTTACTTCACACATGCTTTTTCTCTGTAGCTTGTAATCTTATTTCAGCAAAGCCACCCTTGCAGTTTCACAGTGGTTGTTGTTCAGTCTCTTCAGTTATATTTGACTCTTTGTGACCCCAGTTGGGTTTTCCTAGCAAAGATATTGGACCGGCTTGCCATTTCCTTCCCCTGCTCATTTTATAGATGAGGCACTGAGGCACGCAGGGTGAAGTGACTCGCCCAGGGTCACACAGCTAGTCAGTGTCTGAGGCCAAATGTGAACTTAGGAAGCTGATATTCCCATTCCAAGCCCAGTGCTCTATGCACTATGGCACCACCTAGCCGCCCTTTGTTATAGCAGTCCTAGATCATCTTTACAGGAAGTTCGCGTCTGAAACATATGTCATTAATATTTACTGTCACCACTTGGATCCTAATTCTCTCAGCTTCCTGCTGCCGGGTCAGTTTATTGTTGGTTTCCCCCCCTAATCTGTTGAATGCTTACTATAGTAAACAGTGGGAAATTCAGGAATAATCAGACAACAAAATTGGGAAAGGGAAAACAGGTATTTACTTTAGGCTGAATAATACAGCCTCCCTCCAAAATCCACTTGGGATTCTGAACTGAAACATTCTTATGAGATGCTGAATGTGGAATGGCTATTTGATATGTATCTTCAGCATCTAAAGGACCGGAGATTTTGAAGGGGTAGACTCCTGGCCACTGATGTAATCCCAAGCTCCCTCCTGGCCCCGTTCTCTTCACATTCCTTGGGTGACTTTCTGTGCTCATGGACTGACTCAACGACCTCTCTGCCCGTCACTCTCTTTCTTCTGGGTACTGCCCAGATCCACTCTGTCTTGAGCTCAGTCCCATTACCACCTGTCCGTTGGACTCTTTGACCTGGATGTCCCCGAGGCATCTTAAACTCAACCTGCCCAAGACAGAACTCATTATCTTTCCCCCAAAGATAACGCTCCTCTATTTTGAACTTCCCAATTTCAGTCATGGGCACTAGCATCCTGACAATCAACCGAAAAGCATTTATTAAGTGCTTATGACATTCCATACAAAGACAAAAAGGACAGTCTAATCTAGACAGACAAGACAACATACAGACATTAGGTGGTGCCATAGTGCACAGAGCGCTGGGCTTGGAATTGAGACTTAATCTTCATGAGTTCAACTCCAGCCTCAAACATTTACTAGCTGTGTGACCCTGGGACAATTACTTCACTGCTTGCCTCAGTTTCTTTGTCTGTAAAATGAGCTAGAGAAGGAAATGGAAAACTACTCTGGTAGTAGAAAACCCTAAATGGGGTCACAAAGAGTTGACACGACTGAAATGACCAAATAACAACACACAAGATGAGGGATTTGAGGGGGAAGGTGGTTCTAGTTGGGGCGAGAGGCGGGTGAGGGAGGCCTCATGCTAGGAGGTGGCTCTTGAGCTAAGGAAACTAGCAATCTGAAGAGGTAGAGGTGAGGAGGCATTACACGCTAGGCATCAGGGCCAGGTTGTGGAGGGCCACTGCCAAGCAGAAGATCTGCCATTTGGCTCTAGAGGAGGAGGCAGCCAACAAGACGCCCAAGCTCACGGGAAAGAGCTTTCTCGAGCAGCACAAGAGTAGACGTTGCTGAGCTTTAGGGAAATCATGTTGGCGGATGTGTCTGTGTGTGCATATGTGCATGCGTGTGTGTCTGTGTGTGCGTGAATATGTGAGTGTGTGCGTGTGCATGTCTGTGTGTCTGTGTGTGCATGTGTGTGTGAGCATATGTGTGTGAGTGTGTCTGTGTGTGAGTGTGCATGTGTGTGTTTGTGTATGTCTGTGTGTGCATATGTGTGTGAGTTCGTGTGTGTCTCTGTGTGCATGTGTGTGCATGTGTGTGAGTGTGTGTGCATGCATATGTGAGTGTGTGTGCGTGTGCGTGTCTGTGTGCATGTGTGTCTGTGCGTGCATGTGCATACGTGTGTGTCTGTGTGTGCATTAGTGTGAGTATGTGTCTCTGTGTGCATGTGTGTGAGTGTGTGCGTGTGTGTGCATGTGTATGTGAGTGTGTGTATCTGTGTGTGCATATGTGTGTGAGTGTGTGTGTGTGTGTGACATCAACTGTCTTCATCTCCTTGAACTCATCCTCAACTCCACCTTCTCCTTCACTCTACCAAGTCTTGCCGATTCTCCCTGCAGAACCTTTCTTTATTCATCCCCTTCTCTTCACCCACACAGCGCCACTACCCTAGTCCAGCTCTTCTCAGTTCTACTACAGTAGCCTCCTCAGTGGTCTCCCTTTCCTTCCTTTCTTCACTTCGTCCTCCACACAGCTGCCAAAGTGATCTTCCTAAAGCACGGGCCTGACCAGGTCACTCCTCTGCTCAATTAACTCCAGTGGCTCTCTGTTACCTCGAGGATCAAATCAGATTCCTTTGTTTGGCATTTAAAGCCCTTCACTCCCTGGTACCAACCTTCCTTTCAAGGCTTACTAGATATTACTCCCCTTCACATACTCTACAGTGCAGCCCAACTGACCTTTATGCTGCTCCTCAATATTACGTTCCAACCTCTAAGTTCCACCTGTATACCTTTTGTCGAGGCAGCCCTCAATGCCTGGAATGCACTCCCTCATCACCTCTGCCTCATAAAACCCCCACTTTCCTTCAAAGCTCAGCTGAAACGCCACCATGTTGCCAGGAATGATTGATGCTCATTTTTGCTGAACTGGTTTTTTTTCTTCCATTTTTCTTATCTTTGGTACAAAGGGAAGCTCACTAGGTAGGGGAGGGGCATATACAATTTGATATTAAAATAAAAAGGTAGCAATAAGAGGTTTCAAAAAAAGTCATCTTAGGAATTTAGAACCAGAAGAGCTTTACATACAGGCAGGCATTCATTCATTTATTTGTTGTTGTTTTTTTAAATTTTTTTTTTTGATGAGGCAATTGGAGTCAAGTAAATTGCCCCGAGTCACACAGCTAGTAAGTGTCAAGTATCTGAGGTTGGATCTGAACTCGGGTCCTCCTGACTCCAGGGCTGGTGCTCTATCCACTGTGCCAGTTCGCTGTCCCTAATTCGTTTATCTGTATAACAAGTATATATTGAGTGTCTACTAATTGCAGGGCATTTCACTGAGTTAGCCCAAAAATGATCCTCAAGACCCAATTTACTCATTTGCTTCCAAAGCAGTAACATTAGCAGAATGCTCAAATAACTGGAAGAAAAAAATTCACAGAATAAAACTGGAAACAGGATGAAATGATTTCTCATATTTAAATCTTAGAAATTGGTGGAGGGAAGCAGAGCCTGTGGTTTTGTTTGTTTGTTTTTTAACCAATGCATGGACGATAGGGGGCAGCAGAGAGTATTATAGGACCACGGACATACAGGTGAGGTGAGTATTGGTCCTAGAGAAATGCCCAGGGACAGTTAGGTGGCACAGTAGATAAAGCACCAGCTCTGGAGTCAGGAGGACCTGAGTTCAAATCTAGCCTCAGACACTTGACATTTACTCACTGTGTGACCCTGGGCAAGTCACTTAACCCTGATTGCCTCACCAGAGAGAGAGAGAGAGAGAGAGAGAGAGAGAGAGAGAGAGAGATGCCCACCCTAACAATAGGCAAAGTAAATGAGAAGTTTTCTACAGTTACTTCTGGCTGCTTAACAGCTTCTCCAGGGCAATGCTAGATTGCAAGCTTTCCCTTGTCAAAAAGCAGCTAAGTTCTCAACAGGGAAGAGCTGGAGCCATGACTTGAGGGCTCTTGGACACAGCCCAGTCTCCCATTGTCCAGGTTAAGAGCAGACAGATGGCCAGGGCCATCGTTTCTGTCTTTAATAGACATCTCACCAGTTGATAGCGGAAGCTCCTCGGTGACGGGGCAGGATAGACGGGTGATAAATAATAGAGCCATGCTTCGGGCCATCGATAATATCCATGGGAATAAACTGGGTGCAGAAGGGAAGAACGTTCAGTTCGGCTCCCACCGATCTGTAGGCTTCGATGACTTCCTTAATGGTCTTGTCTTTGATTCTCCATCTGGGGAATTTGAACACCGGGATGCCGTCTTTCTGTGCAGCCAGAGCTGTGCCGGGACAGGGGTGGGGGTAGAGGAAGGGGGCAAGATGTTTAAAGAAATGTGGCTCATGAAAATGTGAAACAGTTGTATAAGAATGTATACTATCCACATGACTCATAGAGTAAGAAAATGAAAACTAAAGCACAGTAAGGAAATAATGTTACCAAAATAGTTTAGACCTTGGCCAAAGTCTGACCTGTTCTATTATAGTTCAGTGGTAAATATCACCTGGTTTCCATACTGATTTTTTCACATTTTATGTAACTGTATAAATCATAAGGGATTTTGCTTATAACAGGAAAGGCATTAAGGCATGAAAGAAATGACAAATTAACTTTATTGTTATATTGATTAGATTATGGCTATAGGGTATAAACAAACCATGGTATTTCAGAGTTGGAGAATGAATGTAAAAGTCATTTGGGGGGAGGGTGGGTGATGGTCCAGACCTAGGATCTCATCAGTGGAATGATGCAATTATTCCAACCGTCCACCATCATCGGGGAAGGCTCAGTGTGGAAAGTCTTTCCATGGATGCAGGTCAGCATGATGTCACTCAGGGCACGGAGAGGTTGAGGGACTTGACCCTGGTCAGATGGCTAGTTTGTGTCAGAGAAAGACTTGGTCTTCCCAACTTTAAGGTCTGCTCTCTCTGTCCACAGAGGTGCCACACTGCTTTGAAAGCATAGTGTTTATTCAACACAGTCTACAAAGGATGAAGGTCAGACCATCCCAAGTATTCAGCATGGTAGAGAATGTCCTTTAGTCCAACCTCCTCATGTTATAGATGAGAAAATGAAGTGCAGAGAATTACAGTGACTTGCCCAAGATGGCACTGGGAAGCGAGGTGGCAGGGCCAGGATTTGTACCTCAGCTCTCTAGGACCGCACGTCCAGGGCTCTTCCCAGAGCACACCCTGACTGTAAAGCATATATGAAGTGACTTGGGCCAGGAAGAATTGACGGCAAAAGCAAGGGTTAAACGCAGATCTCTGATCTCCAGGCACCTTTTGCTCTTGGCTGGTCTGTGCTTTTTTGCTGGATGATTAATGGTGTGAACATTACGGAGCAAGAACAAGAAGCAATGAACTTAAATATTAACCGCCTATCAAACTGGCAAATGATAGCTGGATTAAATGAATATTTATGCTTGGTTGCTCCTTAATCAAAGTTATTTAATAACAAGTACTGAAAGAACAGATTGAATTTCTAGAAGCCATAAATGAATTAGAATTGTTATGCCCTTTTTAACTATTAAGATTAAACCTACTTTGGCAGAGTCATTGCAGAATCTAAATGATAATTGGATTTTGAAGTCCTTAAAAAAAAAAGAGGCCAGTGTGGTGGTGTGTCCCTTAATTCCTATTACTGGAGGGAGGCTGAGGCTGGTAGATCAATTGAGCTTGGGGGCTCTGAGCTGCATCTGGGTTACGGCCTTGGGTGTCTGTACTAAGTGCCCCACATTGGTGGACACCTTGAGGGTGGAACACCAAGGAGAAGTTAACTGAACCAAGTCAACAAAAGGAGGAGGTTAAATCTTCCATGCTAATTAGTATTGGCATTGGGACCATGAGTGGCCACTGTATGTTCAGCCTGGGCGAGATAGGAATATTCAGTCTCAAAAATAAATAAAGATTTGTCATGGATGTTCAGTTGTGTCTGACTCTTCATAACTCCATGGACAATGGCACGTAGTGCCCTTCTATCCTTTGCCATCTGTCAAGGTCTGTCCAAAGCTCTGTCTAAACTCTGTCCATTTCTTCCATGACAACATCTACCCGTGTCATCCTCTACTGGCCCCCTTTCCTTTTGCCTTCAACCTTTCTCAGCATCAGGGTTTTTTCCAAAAAGTCCTGTCTTCTCATTATGTGGCCAAAGTATTTAAGTTTCAGCTTCAGTATTTGACTTTTCAGTGAACAGCCTGCATTAATTTCTTTAAATATTGACTGATTTGACCTTCTTGTTGTCCAAGGACATTATCTGTCACCATACAGCACAAGTTTTTTGGCACTTTCACTTAGTATTCATGCTAGAATTAAATTAACTTCAGCATTAAATTTATTGTGTAACTTTTTTACTTTAAAAAAGGAAAGGGAATCATAAGTTCATTTGGCACCAAGATAAATAAAGGGTAATTGTTCTGTGATGGAAAGATACAAGGCCTGGCTCCAGTGGCTAAAGGGGCATGTCTACAAGCATCCATGACTTGACTTGGGCTTATTTAGGAGGCACGCAAAGATGTAACTAGATGGGCACAGGAAGAACAGACTTGTTTCTGAAGCTCTCACGACACTGGAGCATTGCTCTGCTTGCAGATGCCTCAGACCAAAATGAAAGTTCCTTCTTCATCCCCTCTAATTATATTTTTATAGACCCCCAAATGCCTGTGTGTGAATGTAAATACTGACTTGCCTTAAAAAAATCCAGTAGTACGTTTTTGAAGGTAAGTCAAGTTTTCTTCCAAGGGAAAAAATAGTCAAGCATCATAGTACATGTGTTGTTTAGGTGGGTACAGAATGAAATCCATCCATACCTTCCCATCTTGCATGATTTTCTTCCACATTTTACAAAAGTTCTTTGTAAACAATTCACCTGATGAACTTGAGGCTCTGGCTGGCTGTCTATCATCTGTGATTCTTGCTCCATGACTAGGTTTTGTGATCATACATGTCCTTGAAAGTGTCTTCTCTTTCACAGTCATCATTTGGTGACGTGTTGGACCATGTATCTTCCCACTGCCCCTTGGGTCCCTTGACATTTTGAATCTTTGGAGATCACAGTATTCCACAGTTCTCCAGCATACAGCACTGCTATCTGGAGAGTCCCGTAATCCAGTGGGCAATGTCTTGCCTGGAAAAGATCTCAAGCCATCCATGCCTCCTCAACCTGCGAGTCTTGTCCATGCCTTTGTCATGAATCTGCTAGAGAAGATCCACTCGTCATGCTGGAGGCTACCCTCTGGTTTGTTTGTTTTATATTATGTGGGCTATTCACATGCTGTTACGTGGTCTCCTTTTCTGATGTCTTTCATTCCATTTTGAATGCAGACACAACTACTGGCAACATTTGACTCACATCAATCCTGCACCTTTCTGTTGCCTCTCGATTCATCTGGAATCCATTTTTAAAAAAATGTTGTTGCTGCCAGAAAGAGCCACCAACCAATTCTGGCATTAAAAAAAAAATACTCCAAGACCCAGCTATTTGTTGACTTGGTTTGGATGACCTCATTAAGCTTTTTATAGACTTTCTTTTTAATTTTATGTTAAAGCCCAACTCAAATGGCCCTTCCTTCAGAAAACCTTTCCTATTCCTACCACAATTAGGTAAACAGTGGAGTAAATCCTTAGACCAGGAAGGTGTTGGCACTCCTCAGGGAACTAGCCTGTCTTCCATTTGGAGACTGCCTATAGGTACCGAATAAAAAGAGAAGAAGCTTGAATTTCTGCACTGGTATTTAAATTAGCCCATTATATTGCAATGACAGAACTGTGAGACTTCTCCATGGCATAGCAGGGGGACTCTGGGAAGGGAGGAAATACCTAGATGGGTTCCTCAGGCTGTCTATTACTGGGTAAGTTGTGTGCTGGCCTGGGCACAGAAGGCATGTAAAGGATGTGACAGTAGCCTCTGAAGACTTTCCTATTCCTCTAGGTCTGTCTGGGATCATGGTCCCTGACAGTTTCCCTCCTTGGTATTCACAAAGCACTTGACTTACATCCTTCTGTATCCTTATGTATTCTTTTATAATGTATTTATTCTATACTAAATATATCACATTTTACTACATATTTTATTATAGTTATTTGTGCATTTGTCACATCTGTCCACTTGGATATAAGTTCCCTGAAGTCAGGGCAAAAGTTTTATTTGAACTTTGTATTTCTGTTCAGTGGGTGGATGAGATGACTTCTGAGGACACTTACAACCCTAGCTGTGTGCTCCTTTAGAACTGAACAGAGTGCTTTGCATACAGCAGGTGCCAAATAAATGTTTACTGAATTACAATAAAAAAACGACTTTCAATTGGTCATAGTTGGCATAAAATAACTATGGCCAAAAAACTATCTCCTTTAGAAAAGTAAATTAATTACTCCAAGGTACACTTACCTAATGGATCAGCTTTTCCATCTTTGTCTGGAACCGTGAACACTCCAACTACCCGATGGCCTTGTTTCCGGAGGTTATGATAGACTTCTTGCCCAAAGAGACTCTGGCCTATAAGTGCCAACTTCAGCTTGTTTTTGTAATAGACCTGGGAAATAATTATGTTATGATGTTTTAGAATGAATGAAGGGAAATTACAAGTTCTCTGCCACAAAAATAATTTTATAGATATAATAGGTCCATAAGACAAAAAGAATATACTTTTTAAAAATTTTTAATAGCACTGTACAGCTTACAAAGCCCTTTCTGTGAGGTAGGATAAGTATTATCTCCTTTTTCCACATAAAGAAGCTGAACCTCAGAGTTGTTAAATTACTAGCCCACAGTCGCATGACTAGTTAAAGGCAGAGATAGGACTTGAAAGCAGGCCTTCTGATGCCCAGTCCAGGATTTCACCAACACACCACTGCCCAAATGGAGACTTTTATCCAAAGAGCAAAATTAATAAAAATTCTTCACAAGTCTCCCTCTAAATGCTAATGGATACGTTCATAGAAGTTTATGAGCAAAGTTGATTTCAATGAGAAATCACAAGGTATAGCAGAAAAAAGCATGAAGGACACATCTCATATTTCTAAAGTCATTAAAACCCCCCTGAAAGAGATACCCAAAGGAAAACTCCTAGGAATATTGTAGCCAAATTCCAGAGTTCCCAGGTCAAGGAAAAAATATTGCAAGCAGCCAGAAAGAAACAATTCAAGTATGGTGGAAACACAATCAGGATAACACGAGATTTAGCAGCTTCTACATTAAGGGACCGAGGACATGGAATATAATATTCTGGAGGGCAAAGGAGATAGGATTACAACCAAGAATCACCTACCCAGCAAAACTGAGTATAATCCTTCAGGGGAAAAAATGGTAATTCAATGAAATAGAGGACTTTCAAGCATTCCTGATGAAAAGACCAGAGCTGAAAAGAAAATTTGACTTTCAAATACAAGACTCAAGTGGAACATGAAAAGGTAAACAGGAAAGACAAATCATAAGAGACTTATTAAGGCTGAACTGTTTACATTCCTGCATGGAAAGATGATATTTATAACTCATGAGACCTTTGTTAGTATTAGGGTAGTGGGAGGGGAAAAAATTATATGTATAGGAAGATAGATAGATAGATAGATAGATAGATAGATAGATAGATAGATAGATGGCACAGGGTGAGTTGAAGATGAAGGGGTGATATCTAGAGAATAAAATTAAGGGGTGAGAGAGGATTATACTATGAGAAGGAGAAAGGGAGAGGTAGAATGGGGTACATTATCTCACACAAAACAACAAGAAAAGGTTCTTACAGTGGAGGGGAAACAGGGAAGGTGAGAGGAAATGAGGGAATCTTATTCTCATGGATTTGGCTTAAGAGGGAATAACATACACACTCAATTGGGTATGGAAATCTGTCTTACCCTACAGGAAAATAGGGGAGGAAGGGGACAAGAGAGCAGGGGAATGATAGAGAGAAGGGCAGATTGGGAAAGGGGTAATCAGAAGGAAGTACTTCTGAGGAGGGACAGAGTGAAAAGAAAGAATAGAATAAATGGGGGGCAGGATTGAATTAAGGGAAATAGAACTAGTTTTTCACAACATGTCTACTATGGAAGTGTTTTGCATAACTGCACGTGTATGGCCTGTATTGACTTGCTTGCCTTTTCAATGAGGGTGGGTGGGGTGGGAGGAAGGGAGAAAATTTGGAACCCAAAGTTTTAAAAACACATGTTTAAAAAAATGTTTCCACGTGTAGCTGGGAAGTAAGAAATACAGGAAATGAGGTACAGAAATCTATCCTGCCCTACAGGAAAATAGAAGGGGAACGGGATAAGAGAAGTGGGGGAGAGAGACAGAAGGGAGGGCAGACTAGAGGAAAGGGTATTCAGAAAGCTTGCCATCTTGGGGTGGGGGGAGCACCAAGATGGGGTGAAAATTTGGAATTCAAAATCTTGTGGAAGTAAATGTTGAAAACTAAAAATAAATAAATTTATATTAAAGTCATTAAAAGTTTAACTCATTAGTATAGTACTCATTGAAAAATGGCATGGGGGCAGCTAAGTGGTGCAGTGGATAGAGCACTGGCCCTGAAATCAGGAGGACCCGAGTTCAAATCTGACCTCAGACACATAATACTTCCTAGGTGTGTGACTCTGGGCAAGTCATTTAACCCCAATTGCCTCACTAAAAAAAACAAAACAAACAAACAAACAAAAAAACCCTGCATGTGTGTTATCTGATCATTACAACAACCCTGTGGCTGGTGCTATTATTATGCCCATTTTGCAGATGAGAAAACTGTCAGAGTTTTAGATGGAACTTAAGTAACTTGCTCACAATCACACAGTTAGTATATGAAACAGTAGTGAAAGGTACAATCCCTAAAGCCGCTATCTGGTCTGGTTTCAAAGCCTAGGAGCTGGTGCCCTAGGAAGCTGATTGGGAACATTTAGGTTGATGACTTAGGACTGGATCCTTCACATATTCACTGTGCACAGGGCACTGTCATAGACATTATGGAGAGAGAAAAAAGAAATAACATGTTTCTTGTCCTCAATAATCTTTCAATCTATCAAGTGAGATAAAAAGTATGTATGTGGCTATTTATGGTGTAAGTGTACAGGAGAAGCCCAGATAGAAACAATTTAAACATTTAAGAAGGAAAAGGGGGGAGGGGAAGGGGCTGTTAGGGGGAAGGAAATCAGTGAAGGCACCACTGAAACAGCATGAGTTAGGCCTGAAAGAAATAGCAGATTTTAACCAGAAGTGTAGGGGGAGGTCCTTACAGGCATGGAGGGTGGTACAAGTAAAAGTATGCAGGTAGGAGAAGGAGGATTAAGAGTGGGGATCAGTGAACTGTCCAGGTTTTGACTGAAATGATGCACACTAAGGCTGAGGATGTTGGACTGAGTCATGCTAGGTCAGCACCATGGTCAAGGACAACAGGAAGGATGAGAACAGGCAGCTGTCTCCATTGCCACAAGGCAGAATGTCTTCTCACCTGTAGCTGGCTCCACCTTTATGCCTGTATGTGGGGATGGAGATGGATGGGGAATTAAATGGGGAAGAATAACTTCCCCAGTGGTAGTCACAGAATTACTGTTATCCTAGTTTTGCAGAAATTTCCCTTGTTTTGGGTAGGTGATAACACTTCAAGTGAGTCTGGGGTTCAGAGAGGGAATGTCTGTTGGTGAGACCCCTTGGAGGCTTCACTGTATGTTTCTCTCAGATGCTGCTCCCCTGAGAAAGTGAGCAGGTCCCCTTTCCTCACGTGTTCCCTGGAAGTCTTGTGCTTCATGGCAATGGCAAATATCCCTAGTAGCTTGGGGTGGGCATGTGGAGGTAGTGGTATTAGTTTGTCAATATTAGGGGAGTCTGATTTTATTTTAAGCTTTCCTGAAAAACACACAGTACCTGTCTGAGACTCTGCTCATCAACCTGGGGGTTTAAGAATGCCAGATGTAATGATATAGTGGGCATTCAATGCTAGCCTAAAGATTTAATATTTCTTTTGGAGTTAGTGGGGGTGGGGTGGGGTGGGGAATACACTTAAAGTTTTAAGCAAGAGACATGATCAAACCTAATTATCAAGGTCACTCTGTTAGTGACGTGAAGAATGCATTAGAGAAGGAAGAGATGGAGTCAAGGAGACCAGTTATATATAATAATTACACATATGCATAATATTCATATGTTACATATTATTATACATATATGCTAAATAATTACATATGCAACGGCATATACATAGATAACCCAAAAAATCATTTATATTTAAAATGTGGTTTTGTATTTAACAGAATATTATTAGTTCCATCAACTGTTCCAAGAAGCCATTTTTAAAGTATTTTATAATATTTTAAAATAATTAATGAAACCAAACAGTGAAAGGCTGTGTTTATCTTTTCCCTTACTCTGAACTTTTCCCGTCTGTCAATTCATTTCTGTGAATACAGAGAAGTCACTTCTAGAAGTGACACGAGGTACCTGTCTAAAGCAGCGCAGGCTTATTTCTATAAAGTTGCTAATTGATGCCTCCTCAAAGTAGTAATTAAATGAGTGTTTTAGTTTAAAGGGCCTTTTCTCCCAAGTCCTACCAAATAAGCAAAGATCCTGTTATCATCTTGTTCAGGGCTTGAAAGAGGAGTGATGTCAGTGTGCTGCTAAACATTTAAGATCAATTGAGCCCCAATAAGGGCCAAAAACCTGAATTAATCTTTTCTTCCTGCGGGAACTGAGAATGCCCCTTCCTGTGTCAAGAGCTAAAGCTGACCAAGAGCATTCTTATGTTTATGACCACTAAGGCTCCTTTAACCCAGACACTACCTTGATGGTGGTAAAGGAAACACAGATATCCTGGATCTGACATTTGCCTATCTTATTTAAATTTCCTTTCTCATACTCTGGTGAAACAAATGGGAGATCATAAACTGAGTAACATAGACATCCAGAGTCAGGGTTTAAATGTCCTCCAAAAATTGCTTGATTCAGTCAGAGTTAAACCTCTGCCTCCAATGTAACATGTTACATGATACTAATTTAAGGGAATAAAACAATATGGATTTACTTATCATCTAGCTTGTTGTCTCTTTACCCTACTTCAGGTCCACAATGCATATTCTCTACCAAGCCCTCACAATCCCTCCATGATCAGATAAGCATCTTCTAAGTGCCTCTTAAATGCATGGTTTTGTGCAAGTCTTTAAAGAATCACTGTGACCAGCAAAGAAAACCTTTCAGCCAAGGGGGTGACTGACCTTTCCAAAGTTAGCTAGACTGGTAGGCAGATAGTCCATCACAAGGCCTTGACCTTGAAGGCTTTTTTTTTTTTTTGAAGTTTGCTCGCCCCTGCCAGGGCTGAGGCTCCATAGGTGCAGCTTTGGAGAGCCCAGGCCTATCTCCACACCAAGAAGACCCATTGGAGGAGGAGGAGGAGGAGGAGAACTTCAAGAGAGTTTATAGAAAGAAAGGTCTTAACTAAGCATATCAAGGCATGCTATCTAACCCAGAAATGTCCCACAGCAACAGAGGGGATGGGTAAGTTTATTTTTTTCTTTTAAAAAATAAAAACAGCTTGTAAAATATCCATTGATCATTTCACAG